CAGATACATTTCACAGCCCTCACACCCTGGCCCCAACAGCCCTTTCCTATTCCGTAGCAGCAGTGGGGAAGAGCAGCCACTGGAGATGGTTTTGCCCCTGCCCCACAGTGAGTCCCCCAAGGCAGCCCATACCCCACTCAGTGTCAGTGGCAGAGCACCCGGTGCCTTTCAGCATCTCCTGAAGGCTCTTGGATCTGAGTCTCTTCCTGCAGTACTGCTTTCCCCATCCGGCACTAAAGATTAAATCACCAAATCACGGCAAGAGATGAGTCAGCCACTGCCACTCTACCCTTCCTTGCAGGAGTTCACACAGATCCCAGCATCTGTGCAGGGTAGATCCCATTTTACATTTCTGCATAGAAGAATCAGGTTATCTGGAAATAAACTTTAAGTTAAGAGCTTTGCACATAACAGAGTGGACAGTGTCAGCAATGCTCACACCCTGCACCCTACCCTGGACATAGTGCTGAAGAAAAGCTGCTCCGTGCAGAAGTGTGGCTCCTGCCCCAGGTTGTGGGATCCCTCCCTCTGCAGCAGCTCTCATGGGGTCAGGCCCGCAGCACCACAGCATCCCTTGAGCGACTGCACCATGGGAGCATCCTCAGAGCTGAAGGTATAGAAATTGGAAACATTCACCATTGAAGGAATACTAATTCTGCAGCAGCAGACTTGAAAGTTACAGTAACATACATGCTCTGAACATCAACTGTGATCTGCAGAAGATGGTGAGATGTCTTCTGAGACGTGTGCTGGAGTTATGAGCACTCCCATCAGAAGCTACCTCTCACCGCCCTGGTCATAGCATGATGCAAAGTTGCCCATAAGCTCCCTTGCACATCTGGCACAATTTGCAGTTTTGCTGTGTTTTGTTTGGTTTTCTTGAGCCCAGCTCAGCACCTGAACTCCAGACAGAGCTCACACATCCCAAAGCGTGCAGCAGGGCCGGCTCGGCCACGCACAGCTCCAGCTTCCAGCAGCCTTTTCATTTCAGGAATCATTGGAAGAAAGAAATAATTGCAAACGGTAGAGTTGGATGTTTACAAAAGATCTACAAACCAGAATCTCCTCGATAGGATTCCTTGTGATTCATAAAATTCCACCCCCGCTTTTCCCCCGTATTCATGAAGCAAAGTGTATTTACATTAGAATTGGTCGAGGTTTGAAAGAATATACATGCTTGGTTTGCAAACCAACCAAACTCGCGTGCACCAGGAGGGGAATGAGGCAGCACCACAGGAGATGTGTCTGCAGCACAGCAGTATCCTCTGGGCTGGGATTTTTGAAACCATACAGAAGGCCCTGGGTTACTGAACAAAATCCCCAGGAATTTTGCCTGAAATCTGGTAAGCCGAGATGCCTGCAAAGTTCATGATTTTGAGCCTTTAAGATAGTAGCAGAGGGTATAAAGTATAAAAGTTACCTTTATAAATAGCCCTCAGTACAGCCCCTTTGAAGTGGGCGTGTTTTCAGTTGGTAAACGGAGAATATAAATGTGTTTTGTTTTGGTAGAATATTAATATCTTTTACAGAGCTGTTAAATTTTGACAGTATCTGTGGAAAAAAAAAAAAAAAAAAAAAAAAAAAACAGGAGAAGGATTTATGGGAGTGCTGACAGAGTATATCAAAACTGCAAACTGTTCCAGATGTTAAAAAAAAAATCCTACCTTTCACTTAGAAAAAGATTTGTTCTGATTTACAAGAACATTAATGGAATTTATTTTGTAGTCTTAATGCCTGAGTAAGAGGAGGGGATGTGGTGGAACGCACGCTTACAGCAGGCTGGGGAGGAAGACAGCCTCGGCGAGCCGGTGTGACCGCATGTACAAGGCATTGAGAGATGTCTACAAGCAGAGGTTTCCACACTGATCAAATGTATCCATGTCTCAAACAAAAGGCTCCTCTAAGACACGTTCACAGTCATTGCAAGCTTCAGCACAATGGTTTAAAATATCAACCATGCTTAGCATTCAATGGCAACAATTTGTGAATACCTAAGTTCACAGGAATTTCAGCATCTGATTTCGAAAATTACAAAGACCGTAGCAATTTGGTATATTTCTGTTTAAAAACTCTATTAGTCACCACCAACTACAGTTCCTAGAAGTATTACTGCTTGTTGACTCAAAACCCCGCGCGTTTCCAGCAAGGGCAACCAAGCTAGCGGGTGACACACACACACAGAGGCCTCCTACAACAAGCGCTCGTTGCGTGCCGGGGTGTGGATGTACGCACTGCTGATCCCGGAAGACTGGTGTGGTATTTACAGGGCGAGCTGGAGTTTGGGGCTGCGGGAGCAGGGAGGTGGCGTCCGTGCCGTTGATTACACGTTAATGACAAATTCCGGGTTGGTGTAAGAGAAGCCAGCGAACTCGTTCTGGTCCAAGTTCATGATGAAGAGTTTGTCGGTGGGCGTGAGCTCCACAGGCTGCCGGGTGAACTCTTTGTCGAAGTTGGAAGTGTCGCGTTTGTCCTTCTGTCAAACGGAAAGCACAGAGTTAAAGAGGGCAGCGCGGGCCGTGAGGCCTTCGGCAAAGGGAGCGGGGCCGCGGGCGCTGCGGGACGGATCAGCACCGTGGACAGCGCCGCGCCGAATTGGCGCCAAACCAGCAGCTGCGAGGGGTCCTGGTGCCTGGAGCTTCACTTCTCACCATCATCATCATTATTTAGGCTCCTCTACGGTATGGTATTGATCAACACAGTGTTTTACTGATTTAATTTGAGATGTCATTTGCTGCAGGGCTGTATATAAGAAATACATAAAAACCTCCAAGAACAAAAAGTCCACATATGCAACCTTTTATCATTTTAATGTCACAAAAAGAACAATTTTGCAGCTACATCGTAGGCAAGCAAGCAAGCAAGCAAACAAACAAGCAAAATTAAAAACCATCCAAAAGGTATGGTCTTAATTAACACTGACAACCTGCTATAAGAACTGTAGTCCCATTGGCAGGACTGCGCTGAGATACTTTGCAAGTCCCGCAGCCAGCACTCACTGGGCTGAACCAGGGGCTACACTTGGTGCCATGTAGGAACCTGCCAAATGCTTTTCTTTAGCCTCTCTGCCTTTGAGCACCAGGGTGCCAGCTCTGTTTGTGGTGCCAGCTCTTGCCGAATGCTCTGGAGGGGCAGCACCGTTGTACTTGCGCTGTCACGTCACCACAAGAACCGCTTCCTGCCTGCCATCATAGCCACCAGCTGTCCTTACTGATGGAATACACGGACAATGAGCTGTGTCTTCACCACAACTCCTCCTGGCACAGCTGCCACAGCCAGAACATGGCAAATCATCCAGCCCACCTCCCCTGCAACCACATCCGGAGACCCTCTGGAGATGAATCCAACCTTGAGAGGTGGCCCAGGATCACAATGTCTTTGTGGGGACAGTGCTCTGCAAGGGGAGAATGGGAGAATCACGTGGGAACTTTTCCAGATCAGAAGGTAAAGAGAGCCAAGGATGTCTAAGAAAACACAAGGTAGGAAGAAGCAGAGAGATGGAGCTCAAGGAGCAAAGACGAAGCTGGAGAAAAGCCAGGATGTGCACATGAAATCTTGTTAGCCATGAGCCCTGCTGTCACAGTCCTGGCTGGGTTCTTCCCTTTGGACGCGAGGCAGCTGAGAGGTGCTGCAGCCCTATGCTCCCCTCCCAACAACACAGAAGAAGCAGAGGTGAATCCAGGGCATAGTGCAGAAGTGGGGAGGGGAAGACTTCAGATGCAGATAAAGAGCAAAGCAGCAGAAACACAAGTGTTAGACAGACCTGGATAAAAGACAGCCTCTGGAGGGGTCAGTGTGGGACCAGCAATGGGCAGAGGGCTCTGCCCATTGGTACATAGGCTGTAGAACCGTCAAGTGGCTACTGAGCCAACAAGCACTGAGATGATTCTGTCCTACCCAGTAGGAGAGTTGCAAAGGGGAATCCAATGTGCACATCTGGCTCCTGCGCACTGCAGCCCTTGGCCTTCCAGAGCAGTGCTGATGGTGCCAGGGCTGCATCCCTGCAGTGGGTGCCCAACCCAGGAGTCCTTAGGGTGAGTGGCTGCAGAAATGGTTGTGCAGTGCCAGGTCAGGGCTGGGGCTGCCCCTGCCCTGCCTCCTCCTTGCCCTGCCCTGGGGCCTTGGCACAGCCAGCGGTGCCCAGCTGCAGGCACAGCAAAGCAACTTCTGCTGAATTCTTACCTCGAACTTCATCCAAAATTGCTGGCAAGTTGGCTTCTGCCAAAGATGATGAACAGCCCATGAGCGGGTGGAGTTTGGTCACACAGAGCTGGCAAACAGGGATGAGGAGGAAGGGGAGGTTCATGGCTGGAAATGCTCCAGGACTCCAGGAGATACGGAGAAGCAGAGCAGGGCAGGGAGCAGCAGGACAGTGACTGTCCCTGTCCCCATGCTCCGCTGGAACCGGCTCCTGCTGCTGCCGTCCAATGCTGTTTGGAAAGTTCCCGCGGTGATCCCAACTGCAGCAATTGAGCAGAAGCTGGGTTTCCAAAGACAGAAAGGAAATTCTGCACGCATTCAGGAAGAGGGAGGATAGCAAGAGCCCCGTAATCCCTCTTTAGCTGAAACTGCCAATTGCTTTTAACAACTGCTCCTTTGAGAGCGAGCAGGCAGGGCGATGAGTCACCGGCACGCTGCCGCACTGAGATAGCGGCACTGAGATAGCGGCACTGAGATAACCGCGGCCACAGCTTCCAGAAATCCTCAGTGCTTTCTGCGATTGTCTCCATTTGAGGCGTTCAAAGAGCCACCGAGCAGCAGCCCCCTCTGCCAGGAGAAGCCCCTCTTCCTGTGCTCAGAGGAGGAAGGTGAGATCCCACCAGGCTCAGCCGCACGGTGACGCGGCGCACTCCTGGAGCTTCCATCCTGCATGGCGCTGCGCTGGGGTGGATGCTGAAAGCAATGGGCGAGCATTGGGTGCTTCCACCCAAAGGCCAGGGCTGCACAGGTGCTTCCAGACAAATGCAGGTTTCTTTTACGGTATTTCTTACTTTCTTTTTATTATTATTATTATCATCATCACCGGTATTGGAAAAAAAATAATAAATTGGCACATTACAACTTAAAGCAAGTCGATACAAAGTGACAGCCCACCAACATCTGCAGAACAGTAAAAAAAAAAGCTGTGAGGCCGTTATTGTTTCAAGAGAAATTCTTCCATCCTGAAACTTTGTCTTTGATGCCAGAAACAAAAAGGAGGCGATTTAAATATCCAGTGACATTTCTTTTTAAAATTGGGATATTAGTGGAAACATCTCTTTACAAGCTTCACAGCAGAATTCACAATACTGTTCAATGTTAAATAGCATCTCATTCGTGTTAATACTGTTTTTGACACATTTAAAGCACAGGTAATAAACTCCATCAATTGCTTTGGCATTCGAAAAAAAAAAAAAAAAAAAAAAAAGTTTTGCTATGAGAACCAACATTGTGTGCTATTTACTAGGGTGACCATGGATTTGAAAGCATCTACAGCAGCTCTTTAAAAATATCCTGCTTATAACTGGATACGTTTCGTTCGATTAAAAAAATTGCTACCTGGAAACTGCACAATCAGGAGAAATCTGTGCTGACAGCAGAGCTGCTTCCCCAGCCATTGACCACTGCTACCAAAGACCCAGAGGGCGAGCCAGCTCTGCCCCCAGCTGCCCCACAGCCCCCAGCTGCCCTGCAGCCCCGGGCTCTATGGGGTGAGGTCTGGTAGGGAACACTTCCTCACACTAAGATCAGAAGGCTGCAGATGGAACGTTCACGATCGTATTAAAGGACTTGGAAGGGGAAGAGCAGGAATCAAAGCACGTGTTGAAGAGATTTCTCCCAGTTGTCATGGCCCACACCTGTCCGTTTTACCTGGTAGCCAATAAACCATTTCCATTTTCTACAAATAAAAATCGATAAAAACATTGTTTTTACTTACTGCACATCACTTACACTTCAGGCATGCCCGAAATTATGTGAAGACACTTCTGGCTTTGAAATATGGTCACTCTAGTAGTATTACTAAAGAAAAACCATGAATGCAATGTCACCACAGCAGCAGTTGGGACTGGATGATGAAGATGAGATCTACACAGCTACTTAGCTCTTGGCTTCAGGTTTAAAAAACTCAGAGTTAAAAAAGGAAAATCCTTCGAATTCTGACTGGTCAATGTTCCTGATGACTTCCTGGTCAGGAGGTGTTAACACGGGTGGATGGCGAGTGAAAAACCGGTCGAAGTTTTCAGCATTGCGTCCACACTATGAGAGGGGAAGAAAAGAACGTATGGTGGGTGGAGAAACAAAGCAAACGGATGCGGTGTGTGCAGCAACCCCTCCCAGCACACCTCGCAGAGCGGGTTATTTCAATGCGGCAATGGCAGAAAAGAAAAAGGTGCAAAACATGTATGAGCTTTGTTAGTCACCATGTGATGTTATTGCATGAGATAGCTGGAGACGAGCAGGGACTGCTGGCTGCACCATGGCAAGGAATTGCAGGGAGCAATGAGATGGGAGTGCAATTACTTGCTGCTTTCCCTTGCTTGCACACAGTCCTGCACCACCTCGCACTGTGCCACACACACGCAGTTTCTCTGCTAAAGACCTTGATGGTTCCAGGTCTCACTGTGCACACATCCATGCTCAGGCCCTCCTCCTACACCTGGCATAGGAAGCTCTCACCCTGTGCTGCCAAGATGCTTCTCCCTGCTCCTGCTTGAGGAGGAGGCTTGCATCGCCTGTAGAGCCCCCCAGCTATGGCACTGCTGCCTGCAGGCTGTGCTGCTGGAGCTGCCAACTCCTGCCCCATCCCTGTCCATGCCCAGCCTGGCACGGTGCTGCCGGCACAGCACAATGAAGCCCCTGCAGCCAGCACCACCCTGGGCTGCCCCAGGGCCATTGCATATCAGAAGCAAAGGACCCATCAGTGCATCTCCACCTGCAGCAATCAGGGAGATCGGGAGCAGGCGACATGCTAGACACTTTATTTAATTTCCTTAGCAATCACAACAAGGGTCCTGTAATTTCCCGTGCTAGAATTATTTAATGTATTAATAATAGTGGTAGCTATAAACAGGTGGAGGCCGGGTTCCTGCAGCAGCTACAAATTGCACTCGGTTGCCACCCAGCACACGGGTTTCACATCCCAATGAGCTGCAGCTGATGACTTTGCTTTCTGGTGGCCGAATTCTCTCACACACAGTGCTGCCCTGGCCCTGCTCTCCAGGAGAGCTGCAGGAATGGCACCTCCCAGTCCTCACCTCTCCTCCCCTCCATCTCCCTATGGAGAACGCACACTCCAAGTGCTGGGATGTTTCTCCTGGTATTTAACTTACATTTGCTGAGGAAACAGATTTACATTTTTAATAAACATCAGACTAAACGTAATGAAATATTAAAGCAAATACACATACACTTCAACATCCCCCAGTGCCTGGCTCTGCCAGAAAGGAGGCTTCAGGGCACGCAGCAGCAGCATCCCGCAGCTTCCGCTGCTGTGCTCTCTGGGCAGCCCTTGCCACATTCCTACAGTGAGACACTCCTTATTCCCAGCTCTCTGGAAAAGGTCCAACAGGTGACAACAGAGTCCATTTAACCCCAGCTACAGCCACTTCCCTGCACTGCACTGCACTGCACTCCCCCCTCACATGCCCATGTCCCCAGTGCACTCCTGTGCAGCTCTGGCTCAGCTCTGAGCACAGCTTCTGTGTGTCTGCACTCCAGGACACACAGCCCAGCACAGTGCAGGATCCCTGCAAAGCTTTGGGTGTCTGACAAGTCAGCATCAGCCCAGTGCCTTCCTGAAAGCCATCGTCTTAACATCAAAATAGAAAATAAATTCCTCAAATTGAAGTTGCCGGCAGCACAAAGCCTGGGAGCTCACATCGGAAACAAAGCGACAGGGGCTTTTCTAGGCCATGCTGTCAGCAGCCTTCAGCTCTGTGATAAAGCACAGTGCGAGTGAGATTAGCACAGAGTCTGCAGTGCTGGAGGTTATCAGTGCGGGAACACGCGGCAGCACGGGGTTCACCTGCTAATAAGCAGCTCACCTGCAGATCATATCAACTGCCAATGCACTCTGAAGGCTGTGCAGCACTTTGACAATGCAGAAAAGACAGAGCTCTACGAAACGTGAGGGAGACGTGGGGCAGCCCCGTGCTGCAAGGCAACGCGTGTCTTCAAACCATCAAACCCCATAGGGATGACTCAAAAATGCATCCTTGGACAGCGCTGCCAGTTTCGGGATGGAGGGCACCAATATACTTTTAATACACATACTGACAAATGGTGATTCCCACCACAGTGCAATGCAGCAAGAATACATGGATGGGAAACTGTCGAATTCGCATCTAGCTGTAGTGTTCCAGGGATACAGGGGGCAGCATCTCCATAACTCCAACCACACAACATCCGCCAGCCCCATAGAATCATATCATAGAATGGCTTGGGCTGGAAGGCATCTTAAGGATCATCAAGCTCCAACCCCCCATCGCATGCAGGGCCACCAATCTCCACATTTCATACCAGCCCAGGCTGCCCAGGGCCCCATCCAACCTGGTCATGAACACCTCCAGGGATGGGGCATCCACAAACTCTCTGGACAGCCTGTTCCAGCACTTCACCACTCTCATAGTAAAGTATTTCCCTGATATACAATCTAAATCTTCCCTCCTTCAACTTAAAACCATTTTCCCTTGTTCTGCTATTATCTACCCTTTCACAGCTCTTAAAATTAAGTTCCTCTTTAAAGGACAGAGACACGCAGTGTCAATCTTTACGTTTATCCAACACCACGTCATGAAAAACCACGGTTAGGACTATATTAATGTACAGGCATCACTCCACTCTGAATGGAGAAAGGGGGAGGGTGGAAGTTTATCTTACATAAATCTTCAATGTGTCCTGCCTAATATTTATAGCCAGCACCAAATGACTTTTTTTTTTTTTTTTTTCTGGCTGCAGAAATAAACCTGTCAGTTTCAAAGATAGCCCTTTTATTTTATCAGCTTCAGCTTGACTTCAAATAGAGACAAAAGGGACCATAAAATATTCTCCATTGATCCCCCAGATGCAGTCAAGAAGGCTGAGTGGGCTGTTGCCACATCGCAGCCACTCTATGGATGTTCTCCTTTTTTTGGGGTCCTATTCAGTAGCGTTGGGAGGAGACAGGGCAGGGCTGTACCCATGCAGGCTGGGAGCAATTTTTGGGAGCATGAGATTGGTTAATGATCCCAGCTCAGCATGCTTTAAGCAAGGTTATGGAGCAGCTGCTGAGGCAGTTTCCTGCTGTAGGGTTTGCTGCCATCCTCCCCCATTAACAGCAAGAAGACTCTTCCCAATGCACTGAGGGTACTGCTGAGTGACAGGGGGGAATCTCAGAGAGCCCTCAGAACCTAAGCTTTTACAAATCCAGGTCTGTAAATGGCAGCTCACTATCAATTAATTCAAAGTAATTAGAGGAATAGTAATTTATGCTATTAAAGTTATTAGATTAAAAGCCATTTTTTAGAACCACTGTCCTGTTGCGAGCAATGCTGTGCTCTGCCATGGGATTTCAGTGCTTTCAGCATGAGAAGACTTCTCAAATCACCAGGCATTATGAAAAGTAAAGGAGTAATTAGGTTCCAAAAACAATAATTATCTCAACGAGAGATGGGGAGAGCAGGCGAGTGGAAGCACACTTCCCAGGGCAACTGCGGATCTGGGGATGGAATTGTTATGCACAAGCCCAGCACAGGAGCAGCCAAGCACAGCCCCATGTCAGAACCACAGCGTTTCTGCACACCACAGACAGCTCAGGCCCTGATCTGTCTCGTTACCGTCTCTGTGATAAAGGTTAATCAAGCACAAAGCACGAAGCAGCGCATGAGCTCCTGGGGATTGATTTCCAGCTCAGGGCACAGGCTGCGTGCTGTCCTGCTGAGGGTTACGGTGCAGCAGCTCTGAGGGGGGAGCAGAGCCCACTGCAGGGTATTCTCAGTGCTGCACAAGCAGCCAGAGGTCCTTGAGCAGCGCCTTTCCCACCCAAACGCATTCCAACATCACCCAAACCCCCACTTCCCCTTCTGTGCTGCTCTGATTGTGCTCACAGATGGCATGGAAGGAGCAGCGCTTTGCAGCACAGATGCATTGCTCTGAAATATCAGCTATCAGCAGTACCTGGCTTGGCTTAATCCTACCTAAATCCTGAACCAGCTGTGCTACCTTCCTATTAATCTCCCTGCTACCCAGCACTGCATTTCCCCCGCCGGCAGCCGGTACGTGTGCAATGACAGGCAGCAGCTTACGGGCCCCATTCTGCGGGCCGTGATCAAAAGGATTTTTAAAGAAATAAGACATTTAAAACAGGACAAAATCTGCATATTTTAAAACATAAGAACTGTGAGAAAGCACTTTAGGCAGAATTAAATTGTTTTCAGCTGCGACAAGACAAACAAGCAGTAACACTGTGTCACAGCACGCAGAGAACAGCACTGTGGGGAAAGGGCAGGTGGCAGGGAGGGAGCACAGAGCTGAGAGCCAACAGCAGCTGCTGACCTCAGGAGCAGCTTCTGCAGAGCAGGGAATGCCCAGCATCCTACATCCCGAGGTAGCAGCTCAGCCTCCCTCTGCTCTCAGCTCTGGATCGTTTGCACAAAGGCGAGGTCCCACTGTAAGCCAGAACATCATGATGTATGCACACAGCCCAACAGCTTCTGCACTGATGTGCTTTGGTAGCAGTCAGTGCAGCAGAGTAGTAACTGCAGGTAGCAGTTGGTAGCAGCAGAGGCTGCACGCACTGTGGGCACTGCAGCAGAAGGCTTTGAGGTCAGCAGTACCCCAGCTCTGTGCAAAGGCAACACTACTCAGGGACTGAGTTTGCAAACACATCTGTGACATTAAAATGTGCAGAGTGCCCTGACTTTGCTCAGTCAAACACAGCAACCACCTCTAGGCACTGAGATGTGGTCTAGGATGGTGGATTAAGTGAGCCAGCAATGCCCCAACCTCCATTGCTGGGGATACCTGTCAGTCTCAGCCTTGCCAATCAGAGTTAACTCTGGATTTGCTCTTTTCTGTAAAGCTTCAGTTCCCAGCAAGGGCACAGAGCCAACGGGCTCACAGGGCTCTGCACCTCCTGCCTGTCCCTTGCAGCACTGATGGCCTCACCCATCCTGAGCTCTGTACAAATCATGCTCCCACTTTGCTGACCCTGCTGGCAGCCCCTGCCCTGCAGCAGCACACTCACTGCACACACAGCCCCATTGCTGAGCGCACCCAACACAGCAGCATGGTGCAGAACTGCAGCTCCGAGCTCTGCTCACACCCACACCAGCTGCGGCCTTCCAGAGTTCACCTGGGAGAGAAGCTGCAGAGGGAAACACAGCTGTGGTGCCACCGGGGGCAGACGGCGCTGCAGAGCTGGATGGTAAAGTTTAGACAGAGGAAAAACGAGAGCGATCTGTGCAGCTAGAGAGAGAAAACAGGAAGGCTGAGCCCTGAGACAGCACAATGAGGCACGCTGTGATTAAATCCGAGTGATGCACGTGGTGCTGCTAGCCCTGTAAGAGCAAGACTGAGTGCCCAGTGGCAGCAGAGTGCCACTCTCACCGCAGCGGTGCCAAACCTCAGGGTGACTCAGGGTGCACAGGGGGTTCCTGCACACTGTAGGGGCACGGGCAGCACCCACACGAGTGCATGTGGGCACAATAAGCGGGGCTGGGGACTGTGTAGTGGGAGGGAGGGGGAGCGCAGAGCGCAGCACTTACAGCCTTTGGCTTGAAGGGTGGCTGGATCTCCTTGCGCTCCAGCTTGTCCCAGTCGATGTAGCGGAAGAAGGCGTGCTCCTTGATGTCGCGCTCCCCCTCCGGGCCGCAGCCCAGCCGCTTGGCAGGGTGCTTGGTCATGAGCTGCGGGGAGAAAAAGCAGCAGCTGTCACATATGGAGTGCCATGAAGTGTCTCCAGGGCTGGCAGCGGGAGGTGACACCCCAACAATGCTGCAGTGCCCGGGATGCGGGCATTGGTAACTCTGTGCTGGGAGCCTGCACAGTGGTGCTGCCACCCCCTGCCAGCACCACTCCAACAGGGCTGCCTGGGTGTCGAGAACTCAGTTTTGCAGCATGGTTCATGTTTAAGGCCACCATCCATTTCAGGAGAACAATCTGCCCTCCAAAGCTTCCATCAGCCCCAGGGGATCTCTCTTCTCCAGACCTGGGCTGCACAGGTGGGGACATGCTGTTAATGAAAGAGTCAACGTGGAGAAAAAGGCACACACATTATTCAATAAGAAAAGTGACAGGGGCTGTGGGAACCAAGGGCAGCTGTGTGAACATTCATGTCCTGGGGCATTTTTGGAGCTGTGTCAGGAGGCACAAGGAGACTCCAGAGATTTATAAAGCACTGAAGGCGCAGAGCACGCCTAACAAATGGGAAGGAGGAGTGGAGCTGACAGCCACCCTGCTGGAAAATGAGGCTCAGTCCATGGCTGACCCACTGATGTCAGCTCTGTGAAACGCAAGGAACTCATCCTCCCCCCGACAGGCTCTGGACAGCATCCTGACAGTTCAATCTGATCCCACCTCACTGTGCTGGAGCAGGAACATAAAAAGCCGCCTGTGACTCAATAAGGTTTTCCTAAAGCAAAGCTCTGACAACAATGCAAGAGCCTGGAATGTGCTAATAAACTGATGGAGCGATTTGGCTGTCGCTGCAAATGGCTTAGTTTGCATTCAGCCAAAATGGAAAGAAGTATGTCCTCCAGTCTTTGGTGTTGCATCCTTGTCCTGAAGCAGCATGGGGAGCAGCTCTGTGCCCACAGGCTCTGTGGGGCAGTGGGGCTGCATCCAGCACTGCTCTGCTTTGCAGTTGCTCTATGCACAACCAATGCTCAGGTACCAACTGGTTGCTCCCAACCAGAACTCCATTTCCTATCTGCTGCTCTGGGCTGGAAGTGGTTTCGTACAAACACCGCCTGCTTCAGCGGAAGTGTTGGTGTTAAACCCACAGTTTCCTCCTTGCACCATCAATGCACACCGCAAGCAGAGCAGCTCAGCCTGATTAATGAACCACACGGGATTTTCTACTTCATATACCTGCTGTGAAGCTGAGCAGAGCTGTACTGTAGCACACAAATCCAATATTTTCAATAGACGCATCCAGAAATTACATTTCCTTGTTTTCCCATTGTGCTTTTACGCATGTGAGCACGAAGGCACCATCTGTTATTGATATATAGGACCCATAAACATGCAGACTGATTCTCCAGGCTTACATGAGGTAATCATTGAGCTTTGCTTGTATTAAACAGGAACAAGTTGATTTAATCCCCATCCCTGAGACTCTCTGAGGCCCTGCAGGTGAGGAAGGAGGCTGATGGACACCTGTGATGGTGTTTGTGGTGGCTGAGGTACGGAAGGTCCCTGAGACCTAAGGGCTTTGCTCAGCTGCAGCTGTGATTTTCAACTCCCAAAGGCAGCAGGTGCTGAGCACCATGGCTCAGCCTTCCACTCCCCCACAGCATGCCAGAGCTCACAGGGACACTGTGACACCCGGGTGGCTCTGCAGGCACTGAGTGCTTTGCTCAGGCAGCACCAGCAGTGGGAATGCCGCTCAGAATACACCTCCCTACACACCTCAGGCAGCAAAACATGCCATGCTACGCCTCTGCTCCCAACAGTCAGAGGGAGCATGTGCTTGCAGCAATCTGTGCACCTGGAAAGGGCTGCTTTGCTCAGACACAGTGAAACCCTCCATATGGGAAGGAGAAGGGCTGCTCTCTATGCCAAGGCTCTGTGCACACAGACGCTGCTCTGCGAGCTGCAAGGGGAGAGGGTGTGATGGGAGCTGGCTGCTGTTACCATGCAGGGGTCGGTGCAAGGCCAAGTGCCTGCACCACTGGGACAGCAGCTCCTGCATCAGCCCTCAGACCAAACCTGAGCTGACAGCTGAGAAGGAAAATGCTCCATTTGATCTCCTAATTGGTGCTGCCTGCAGCTAGGGAGCTGTGTCCTGTCAGCTCCACATCCCGCTTGCTGGGCAGACAAACACTTGCTCCTTGGTTCACATTGACAATAAGTTTCTCAGCATCAGACACTTCACCTCAGAGCTGTACAATATCACACCTGAACTGACAGCAAGTGGTGACCAGCACCTGCACAGTATTGAGCTGCAGGAGCAGCAATATTCCTCTGCAATGGGAGAGCATGGCAGGGGAACACTGGACCCTTCACATCTGCACAGAGAGGCTCCTAGGGCTGCTTTGTCTCTGGGCTGACACAAGGCTGGTTCTGCCCCTCCGAAAGAAACACCAGGTATCAACACATGCAACACCACTTCAGTGAACTCAGGAGCATTTTGCTGTGTTTGAGAGGAAAATGCAAATACTTTGTTTCCAGCTCAATAATAGTTCATGAATACTTTGATGTTGGCAAAGAACATCACAAGATTTGCACACTTCCCCACAGCAGTCGTTGTGCACGGGGAACCACTGCGTGGCCCAAACCCAAGGATTACAAAGCACCAAGCTTTCTGTGCTTGGGAATTTCTTCCCATGCAGCTTCACATTTCCAGAAGTGAGAAAAGCCTCTGCAGCTACACACAGCAGACGTTCCAGTCATGGTTCCTCCTTGTCTCTTTCCAGCATTCAGATTGTGACTGGTGCCACACAAAGCAAAGCAGACAGCTCGATCTGTCCCCACTGCAGCTCCGCTTGCTCCCTCCGGCGCTGCAGGATGATCACAGCATCACACAGCATCCTCCCACCCTGCACAGCCACGGGCTGTCCCCTCGTGCCCCAACCCCAACACCAGGAGAAATGAGAGAGGGTGAGGAAGTTTGGGGTAACTCTTTGGTCACTGCTGCGGTTCCTAAATTCAAATGTGGTTTTTGCTGCGTTCTACTGGAGATGATTGCGCAGTTCTGTTTATTCTCTGGGACTCAGGACACCTCCAGCAACACCTTCTCATGGAGAAGTGATGTCCTGTTTGTGGCACAGCTCTGAACTCCGGCAAAACCAGAGAGGGACTTTGAAATACCATGGCAGCACTGAAAACAAGATTCACGTCTTGTTTGTAGATAGAAACACTATTTTGAGATATAGAACACTCAGATGTTTTAAGTATTAACTATTAAAAGCTAACATTTTTTAAATTCCTACACAAACATATTTATAGCCCTGCTTGACACTGGCTGGCTGAGATGAGGCTCAGTGCCAAGCACCAACCACGCGCACAGCACCAGGACCGAGGCCCTCCATCTCATGTAAAGGGAACTCAGGGCACGTCCTGCCCACACCTGGGGCACGGAGAGCTCAGGGCACTGCAGGTCAGGAGATCTGAGAACACAACAGCCCTCATGTAAGGGAGATGCCCACCAATGCCAAACTTCAGCTCCAAGCGAGAAACCTGTCATACCTAAAGTCAGTGTCTGCAGGATGAAGACTTTGTGTCTGAACTTGGGAAAACTATAAGTCACATTAATGTCATTTTTGATCAGTGCAAAGCTGCACAGCCCTGCCCTGCTGCCAGCCAGCAAGTCCTGTGGGAAGACTCCACCATGCCCACTGACCATGTCCCTCAGAGTCACGGCTCCACAGTTCCTGAACATTTCCAGAGATGGTGACTCCACCACCCCCCTAGGCAACCTGTGTCAGTGCTGACCACTCTTTCAGAAAGTAATTGTTCCTAATATTGAGCCTGGCAATGCCAGGCAGAGTAGTTTGCTCCTTACAGATGCAGCTTCCAGCCCTTACCCCTTTGCAGATTGCCACCGCCTCCTTGGACATGGACTTTGGGTAGGCCACGTTGTGTTCCATGATGGACTGGAAGAGCTCATCTTCATCTTCTCCCTCAAAGGGAGCCTGGGGCAAAACAAGCCGAGGCTCAGTGCCATTCATAACATCGCAGAACGGCTGTGTTGGAAGGGATCTCCCAGCCCCACCTCTGCCATGGGCTGGTTGCCTCCCCCAGCTCAGGCTGCCCAGGGCCCATCCATGGCCTCAGGCACCTCCAGGGATGGGACACACACACTTCTCTGGGGAGCCTACGTCCATGTACTGGAGGTCCCACTGCTCCTGCAATGTACAGCCAGGAATGCAGCCCACGTCTCCCTATCACTCGTCCTCCACCTCCCATCCTACAAACCACAGCTCCGTCTCCCACACAGAGCAGAGCCCCGCTGCTTCCCAGTGACAAAAGAAATTACATATCGGCATATTCTCATGATGGAATTTAGCACCTTCCCATAGGAATCAATTACAATTCAATTACCTGGCCAGCCAACATTTCATAGAGCAGGACTCCAAATGCCCACCAGTCCACTGACTTCCCATAGGGCTGATAAGCAATTATCTGAAAACAACACAAATATGGGATTACACTTCCAATTTTAACCCATTAGCACAATGCAAACTGATTTCACACTGTAGGCCAGGTCAAAAGGACAAGTTATTCACCAAGACTCCAAAATGGTGAGAAACTGCAATTATAAACAGGGCATTTCATAGTCCTCGACTGTGCACTAAATATTAGGAAAAAAACCAAACAATATTCACTCAGCCTGGCCTGTGCCCTGCTGAGGTCAGACCTCAGAGATATCCCCACCGAGAGCTTTCCAAGCTCCTCTGTGTTGCACTCCAGCTGCCCTGAAAGGAGTCATTACAGACCCTTAAAGTTCCCTTCCACTGACAGAAGCCTCCAGTGTGATCCCTGCATACTGTAGTGATTTGCATTCCAATTTCTCATTCTGTTTTTCTTTTCTGGGGGGAAAAAAAATAATTAGAGCAAGTAGAAGAAAATAAGAGTGTAAGTGATAATGCCCTGCCAAATACTGAGAGAAGTGGCCATTTGTCCTGTTTTATAAGAATATTAATCACAGCGAACAACAGAGGCGATAGGACACCATTATTAATCTTGGTGGGATGAAGGTATGCAGTGCACATTGGAGTTGGTAATTAAGTCTCTCTGGCTGCAGTAGAATGCAGGGTGGTGTGGCACACAGGTGCACCTCACTGTCCTAGCAAGGAGAATCTCTTCTCTCAATTATTTAAATGAATAAATATTAATCTTGTTACTGAAAATTCTGCAGAATGAGAGGATTTCAGAGGGATGCTTTTAGTTTAAGGCATCTGGGCATGATTGCCTGCCTGAATGTCACAGATCCAACAGTACCCTGCACCCACGTGGTGCTGCGCTAAGTGTCCCATGGTAACCCAGCACTCAATCATTTCTAGGCACTTTTGAGCTGTGGACATGGAGATTGTCCTCACCACACACCCCAACTCTGCCATGTCCCAGGGACCACCCCCTCCCCACCCCATGCCTTCTGCCCCCACCTCGGGTGCGATGTAGTCGGGGGTGCCACAGAAGGTCTTGGTGGTCACCCCATCCCAAATGTTTTCTTTGCACATGCCGAAGTCCGCGATCTTGATGTGCCCCTCACTGTCCAGCATCACGTTGTCCAGCTTCAGGTCTCTGCAATCAGAGCAAAGCAGTGATATGGACAGCCCCACATGTAGCTGTGCAGCACAGCAACGGCTCTGATCCTGTGGCCACGTGCCCAGGATCACGTTTGGAAGCAGATCGCAGACAAGCCAGAGCTGGCAGCACTAAGTGCTTATTTTACTTTTTCGTTTTACTTTTAACCCATGGGAACACCACACTGGGCAAATCACTTTTAAGTGTATGACAGAAAGTGCTCTAGCATGGCAGCAATACAGACTTCACAGAGCTTTTGCTGCACCTATGAAAAATCAAAGTCTGCTTAAGGCTCAGCAGCAACAAAGCAGGCACCTACTCAGCAAAACTCCCCGCATCACCTGTTCTTTCTCCCCCATGAAAATACAAATCAACTACCTCTGATCCCCATCCACAGATTGTTTGTGTTAGCTCTACCATCCCTGTCAAAGCTGAGCACAGCTGAAGCTGCTCCAGCTATGGAGATCCCTGACTCAACTCCCAGCACTGCCCAGGATAGGACACCCAGGCTGAAGGGCAGTTCTGCAGCAGCCATGTGGCACCATCTGCACATTACCAGGCATACATCACCATGCAGTGAGGTGCTCTGTGCCATGCTGGTTCTGTGCAGGGGGCTTCTACTCAGAGGGCTCCAGGGCTGCAGATGCCTGCAGGACGCACCCTGCCTGAGGGCTGCGTTCAGGCTACAAGGGCAGCACCAGCGCTGACACACTTCAGCTCGGTTTGGTTAAGTAAGAGCATGATAGAAGTAACAGCCATAAAAGGAACAGCCTAATTTACAACTTCTCGCTGATTTTTAAGAGAACGTTTTTTTTCTAGACAGTGCTTGATGGGCCAAAGCCAGCTGCACACGTGTCGGCATTTGGGGTTGGAGGAGGAGATGGGCACTGGGGACTGGCAGACCCAGAATCTCCGCAACAGCTGATGGCAAAAACCATCCCTTGTGTCAGCTTTGCTCCACTTCTTTCATCTTCAGAGCACTCTCAGCAGCACAACCCAGCAGCGCAGCTGTTCTCTTCCTGCAGAGCAGAGCAGGCGGTGCTGCTTGACACTGATGCTCATTAGGATGCTATGTCCTGTGCTGGGGATGCTCTGGGCAGGGGAGCACGGTGGCATTGAGTGCCAGTACTTAACCCAGCCCCAAGACATGGCCCCCACTCAACAGCCACTCGCAGTCCCTGGGGACTGCACATCATATTGTGAACAGAAAAGAAGTTCAGTGTCTGAGTTGGAAGTGACAGACTTGCACTACAAGTCTCAGAACAAGCCATTCATAAGCAGTTACTTTAATGTTAATAAGAAGAAACCACTGCCCTGCAGCAAAGCACACAGCTCAGAATCAGTCCCTGCTGCTGCCAGCAGCACTGGTTTTGTATGGAGATAAATGTGTGAGACAGAGGTGAGAGAAGCATTAGAACCATTCTGCTGAGCTCTCTGTCCTATAAAGCTGGAACAAAGCTGAGCACCTGTCAGATCCCAGCTGCACAGTGTGGCTCCTGTTCCCTTTGGGGCACACACTTGGAGCAGGGCTGCAGCCCCTCCTGCACAGAGCAGGGCACACCTGGGGCCAGCCCTGCTCTCGCAGCCCATGGTGTCCCCAGGACTTGCTCACCTACCGGTAAATTATGCCTTTGCTTTGCAGGAAGAAGAGGCCAATGGCTATTTCTGCTGCGTAGAATCTGCAATGAAAGATTTAGAAGGAAGACTGATAATTAAAGGAGATGAATCAAAAAGAAAACCTTTCACGTCCAATTGCACCACAAAAAACACACAGGACATGCATGGCCAAAGGATAACGACAGCTGCTACAGTAAGATACCAGACAGGCATCACATGGGGGACACAGCATAACCACGTCGGGCTGGGATGCGGTCAGGTCACCGGGGGTTGGCAGGGGGCTGTCATTCCTCATTACACTGATCCTCATTAAGAGAGAGCTGGGATCTATAGCTGTTTGTTACTGAGTGCTGGCAATGCAGCTTGAAAAGTTACCGGTCGTCACAGGAGATAACAGGAGCCACTGCTTCCTTTAGAGAATACCTGAAGGCTGCTGTGCTGGAGCTGCAGGGTGCTCTAAGGACTGCACTGGTTAAACCCACCTGGGCTCTGCTCACTGCCTCAGGCACTTACAGGTGCCACATGTCCTACAGAAGAGCTGCAGGCACAGCACCCTCAGCAACAGAAAAGGAATCACCTCACCTCTTCCATTCCTGCTGCCCTTTATTTCCCCTCATGTTGTGCTTAGGATGTGCACCACAGAAGCCTTGGACTGTGCTACAGGGATATGACATGAGCACAAAAATACCCACCCTGAAGGCACCACACCTGGGCACTGAACTTACACAGCGTGTGGCTCCTTAAACCTCCCGACCTGTTGGATCTGGTACATCAGGTCCCCACCGTTCACATATTCCATCACAAAGTACAAGCGATCCTAGAGGAAAAAGCAAACAATTAGCAGCAGAACTATTAGAGTAGGGAACCTGCAGAGGTCACAAACATTGGCCGAAGCAAATGACAGCTCCAATTTTTCACAGCAGTACAATCATCCCGGCTGCCCTCCCTATGGAGTGCAGGTGGAGCTCGTGTGCACACAGAGCTGCAGCCATTCCTGCCCGATGCTCCAGACTTGATTGTCACACTTCTTTGCAGGCAGATACAGCAGCAGCCATGTAGATACAGGTCTGAGAAATTCCCTTTTTTTTTTTATTAAAGTGCCTTCCCTGCAACCTGCTGTCCCAGTGCAAGGCACAGCTCTGAGCAGCTGCACAGTTCCTGTGCTCCCTGCTAACAGCACTCCTGCTGGATGGAAGCCCAGTCCTTCAACACTGTGAGAAATGTGACAAGTGTGGGCCATAAGCAAAGCCCCGAAGAGATAAGCACAGTAAGAAACAAGACCTGAGTATTTCCACAAATCTCAGAAGTGCAGATTAAAAAACCGAGAGTGGCTGCATCCCATCTCACAGCATCTTGCAGAGAGTGCCAGCACAGCACTAGCAGTGCGGAGCTCAGGAGCTGTGGTGGTCACACTGGGATGCTACTTCCCTTGGATCTTTCACAGTTAAATGGGAATGGCCGTGAAGAAGATGACAAGATTGCCCAATGCAGTGGCCTGGACATGGCAGCTTCCCCTGATAGGCTCAGAATGTTTTGGAGTAGAGGGAAAAGCGACAGCTTTGGGCAAAGGCACAGCTTCATATTTGCAGTATTACATCATAATACATAATAATTCCCATTCTTCACTTCATTTCCTTCCTAAACAACCCTTGCCCTGCATTTAGGACACTGAGGACAAGGAGCTAGAAGATATGCAAACGTGATCATTATCATAACAACTGTTGTATAGTAACTCCTTCAATTGCCCACTACTTTGGCCACAGGCAGAGCAGCAGTGACAGTTCTGTACAGCACTGAAGGGGCTGTGTACAACACGTGGCACTGATGGGATAGAAAAGCAATTTCAGCTTTGTCAGATGATGGGGAATTTCTGCACATTGCACTCTGTGTATGCCAACCCCAACACAGCAGCACCTGGGGCTGAGGGTGGGAGCAGCCACACTGCTACACGGTGACCCCCAGAGCAAGGCAGAGCAGGCTGTGATGTCTGCAGCTGCTTCCTAAACATATCGTCAGCTTCAAGAAGGGAGGATATTAAAAGGATGATCTCTTGAAACAGCCAGCTGAGCTCTAAAAGCAGCGTTAGAGCTTTCCTCATTTGGGCGGTGAAGGGAATGCTGCTGCTTCAGGAAAAAAACACCCTGAACCAAGCAGGCAGATGGTGGCCAACCCACGTCTAGGACAGGGTCATGTGGACTGGTGCTGGCTGTGGGAGGGGGATAGCTCTGTGGGACTGGAGCATCACCTAGAAGCAGCATAGAGCACCCCAAGACCTGCAGGGAGCTGGCACATATCCCTTCCTGGGGCTCCTTCCAATGTCTTCCTTCCTCTAATTAGCCCTTCCTTTAATTAATCCTTCATTTAGTCCCCCTGTCCTGCTCTTAACTGTGCAGCCCAGGCTGGGAGGGATGCTCTGGGCAGCGGTCCCAGAAACCCAAGTGCCCTGTGCAGCATTTGGTAATACACCCCACTGTACATTTTGGTTACATTACAGGCATAATTGCCACAAAGTTTCTATGGGTCTGCCAGGAGCAACCCGGCACTGACTTCAGTTCAGATGCCACAGAGATGCTGTGTGAAACAGCTCCCCCTTCCTTGCCATATTTCCATGACTGCTTCAAAGCCAGCCTGCACCCTTTAAGAGCACTGAATGTGTTTGGTAAATGAAATTTCTGAGATTAAACGTAATCTTTGTGAACAGTACTGTCACCACTCCAACAGGCCGCACTGGTTACCAGGAAGGCATCAGTGCTGCTACCTGGTGATGCTGGGTCTCCAAAAGGGATTTCTGCCCACAGCAAGGGTGATGCCAAGGGACCCCAGTGTGCACAGCACAATGCAGGGCATTTCAGCACTCACCATGGTCTGGAAGCAGGAATGGAGCTGGGTCAGGAATGGGGGCTTTCCAGAGAGTGCCAGCACACGCTTCTCAACCATGGTGCACTCCACGTCGTCGTCCTGGATGACCACGTCCTTCTTCAGGATCTTCACGGCGTAGAGTTCATCCGTGCCCTTCCTCTCAGCCAGCATCACCTGAGTGGGGCAGATGACAGCAGATGCAGGTAAATGTGTACCTGTCTTATTCCCAGCTTGTCACTGCCAGCACTCAGAAACCCACAGCCTGGTTGTCATTGTACAGCTCCTATCACAGTCATGAAAAGAGATTCAGGTGCCAAAGAATGCAGACAGCTCTCAGTAGTACTTCCAAAAGCACTGGGAAAGCTTCATCCAGCAGTCTTAACCCTAACAAATAACACACTGACGTGCTCACTGCCCAGCCCTGGGGTGAATCCCCTGAGCCCTCCACATGAGGATTGGCACCCACAGGTGGGGAGAGCACCCTCAGTGCCAGCGGAATGCATCCAGAGCATGAGCACAGAGCCCAGCAGATCACGGAATGGTAGAAATGTGCAGCAGAAAGAATTACTGTAAGCCAATGGCATCCAAACCCAGCGAGCTTCCCCTACCTCGCACATACCCTGCACAGTGCTCAGAACCTCCCTGTGAGCCAGCCCACCGCCCAGCCAAGAATCTGTTCAACCTCACATTTTACACTGCTTTCACCTATTTGTGGTTTTATTTACCACAAGGAATGGGATGTGCTGTGGGTCCTGGCATGGCACAGGGGCACGGCACTGAGAGTCCCACTGCTGCCCACTTCCCAGAGCTGAGCTGCAGCCCCACAGAGCAGTGCTCTCCAAATGCATGCGGCTGCTCCTTGGCTTGGTGCACGCACTTGGCTCCGGCTCAGTGCCAGGTGGGTGTCCTCACCACACTGCTTGTCATGAGCTGAGGAAGGCATCAGGGCTGCTCAGCGCCAAGTGCTTTGGAAAAGCCACTGACATTTACATTTCCATCAGCGGGGGGGCATAGGATTGCAACGAACACACGCGGCTGCCATCCGTTGGCAGCACTCAAAGCAAGCTGACAGCAGTGCTTCAAGATCGGATTTATGTTCTCACTGATGCTTAAAGGAGGTGGAGATTCTGCAGAATGGAGTGATGCTGTGCTGCACCCAGCAAGGCACAAGGGCCAGGACCACAGCAGCACTCCATTTCTCCTGCCCTCAGCCCTGTGGTGCTTCACAGCAGCTGAGTCCTTTGCACTGAGCACACCTCCAGGCCCATCCCCTGCTGGGGACATAGGGGTGCCCCCTCTGCAGGTCCAGGCAAACAGAACCCTTCAGTTCTTTTCCTCCTGTTAGCTTCACAAGCTAATATGCAGTTCAGACCTGTACGACGCTGTGCACGTTGTTACAAAGTGGGACTGATTTTTACCTGACAGAGGCAGTACAAAGCTGGCAAAGAAGGGAAGCAGTCCCTCCAAGAGAACTTTAAGAGAAAATGAAGCATTATGTGTCCGTAAGAGGATCCCACACAGTGCTGTCAGCACATGGATGTACCTCGAAATCCATAATCCTTTCCAAGAAAAATAAAACTAGGACTCTGAACCCAGTGGCTGTTGCCAGCAGGGATGGACCTGTGGGGGGCCCATAGGAGGAGTACAGGAACTGCAGAGCGCAGCAGGGCTGGGAGGCATCCTGCTGCTTTCCCAGACATTTTGCTTGGAGACTGTCAGGGAAGAGAGCATGTTGTTGTTGGTAATGGGCTGTGTTTGGGGACAAGTACACCAGGAAATTTCCCTGGAGGTAGAAAAGATCAGATGTACGGCCAAAAGCAGCTGCTGGAGAACAGGCTTGAAGCAGGAAATGGCAGTGTGTGGCACTGGGTGACAGCTCGACATCCCCACATGCTCCCAACCCAGGGCAGAGGCTGCCAGCACACTGTTGATGCAAAGAACTGCTGGCGGCCTTACAGGGCTGTGAATGTTTCATGTGTCATGTTCCAATGAGAGTGGTGTTCCAGCTGACCCAGCTCTGACAAGGGAAGGGCAAAAGGGCTTCTGTGCAGCTGGCAGCACTCAGCTGTGCTGCATGCTGCCCAGAGGCACCCGGCAGCCCGAGTGTGAGCACATACAAGCGTGTGTGCAGAAGGGATGAGGAGCACCACATTACTGCATTGCTTCTGCACATCTGGGCTGGCACAGTGAGCAGCTCCAGAGGGATAAGTTAAGACTGGTATTGCCCAGGATGCTGTCACCCCTACGAGTTTGCACATGCATGCAGAAGAGACTGCCCAGCGAGAGAATAACTTCCGCACCTGAACACCACGCACCAAGCCTGCCTGAGCAGCAGCAGGCTGGGACTGTTTCCAAGCAGCAGAGGGGCAGCAGGACCTGCAGGGGCTACCAGCCTGCACCAAACTGCCCAAGGCAGCCCGCATGGAGATGCACAAGGCAGCCTGCACTGCTGGCTTCAGTGCTGGCATCACAGTTCCTATGGTGACTGAAGCACAGATACAGCTGAAGTCTCAAAAGAAGAACAGCCGCTGACGAGCAGGCTTCAGCAACACTGCTAGTGACAGCACAGATTTGTACCCATTGCATTGCAAATCAAGAAGATTAGGACAAGTGCATTCACCCAGTGCAGTTTGCTAATGCCTCGAGCAGCACTGTGCAGGACATGCAGGTTTGCAGAGCAGCAGGAATGCAAACAAAGCTCACTGCTGCAGATGCCTAAGAGCTGGAGCACCATTGTGAGACAGAGCCAAGTCCCGGCCCCTGCTGTGCCTACACGTGCCAGCTGCTGGCCCTCAGCCACGTCCCACACTGGGGACAGCATCTCACAGATGGAAGATGTTCATGGGACAGGAAAACTGTCTCCCATCACACTCTAAACCATAACTGTAGCGGCAAAATTATCAGAAAAAAAACACCCTAAAATCCCCAGAAACAACTGACAGCTTGATAGCACGACAGATTGATTAGCTGCAAAAATATGAGCAAGCCTCAGAATTCAACTCCTCTCTATTTATATTACAGCAAAGCAAACCCAGGGTGGGCTGTGCCAAGCGCCGTGTTCCTCAGCCGGGAACAGCTCCCATCCCCATGCCAAGCCGGGGGCAGTGCTGGCACCACTTGCAGCCCTGAGGACAGGGACACCCATGGGAGCCACGTGCCCAGGGGTCGGTCCCATCTTCCAGAGTGCAACAAGACCTGAGCTGAGCCTTCATCCCACAGCTCTCCTGCACAAACAGCTAATATTGCACTTGACTTATTCCTGTAATACATAGCATTTGTTTGGGAATGCTCCAGCTTAATAATTGGAGATGTTCTGATGCTGAGTGCAGAGAAAGGGAGGCCAATGTGTGGCTATTGCTCACCCTGCATGGTCATAGCAGAGCAGTGATGAAAGTAGGACGTAGCAGCCACAGAATCATTGAATCATAGCATCACATATCGGTTTCAGTTGGAAGGGACCTCTAAAGGCCATCTGGTCCCACTCCCTGCACTGAGCAGGGACACCCACAGCTCCATCAGTGCTCAGAGCCCCGTCCAATCTGACCATGGGTGCGTGCAGGGATGGGGCACTGCCACCTCTCTGGGCACCTTGTGCCATCCCTCATTGCCCTTAGCATCAACAACTTCTTTTTTCTGTCCAATCTAAATGTCCCCTCTTTTAGTCTGAAACAATTCCCCCTTTCAGCAGGACTGTGCTCAGGGTTGGCAGTGGTGCCCAGGGGCAGTGAGCTGCTGCTGCTGCCCTTCTGCTGGCCCTGGGGAAGCATCAGGGCTGTGGGACCAATGGTGCTTGGGTGGCCCTAAATGCAATGCACGGCTCCAGCAGAGTGCAGGCACACGTGAGGCTGAGGCTGCATCTCCCAACATTCGGTTTTAATAAGCGCTAATTAGCATATTTATAACATTCTGTTCCAGGGAACAGTTTCTGTCACACATTCCCTTATATAAGCCATGATGCCGACTGAAGGGTTTGTTAATGTTTCTCAAATTAAAAGAAGGAAGAAGAGGGAATAAAAACAACGACAGCTTCCAGATGCCAAGCAGAAGACTTTAAAAGATTATTTGCTGGGAGGGCAGGAGAGAAAAGCAAAGGCTGTTGCTCAGAGCCAGGATTTTGGCTCTGTGAAGACAGGGCACTCTGCACCTACATACCAGCCCTGGGCAGAGAGCTGCTGCTGCACCCTGTGCTGTGCTTGCAAGCAGCTGAGCTACACTGGTAAGTTGGGAGAAGCACAGGTGCACGCACAGCGCTTGCTGCTCACCCACCTGCAGAGAGCACACAAAGCACAGAGCAGAGCAGCAGCACCCAATGCCCCAGCAGCGCCACTGCTCATCTCCAGGGGTGCTGCACACACCGGGAGGGGAGAATGGGGAGGGATGCGGTGCCACGGTGCTTTGCTCTGTGCAGGTGAGTTAGCACTGCTCCCCCTGTGCTTCCGTCTGCCTCCACTCAGGAGGTTTACACGCCGTGTTCCCTGCAATTAAAGCACTTTGCTAATCAGAGCACGTCAGCCCGGCTGTCACCGCAGTGCCGCGGCCCCGGAGCACGTGGCAGCACAGAGCTGCCCAGCCCACATGGAACTCACAGCAGCAACCCAAGGGCTGGGATTTCTCATGGAAATCATGGCAACGTTGGCGAGATCCCAAGAAAAATGAAGGCTCCAAGTCACATAATTACTGGAAGAATGAAATTCTGTTACCACTCAGAGCCAGTCTGGAAAATTAATTAAAATGTTCATGTACATTTGTAGTTATTAAAGGGAAAAAAAGGCCAAATAAAAGAATTTCAAAGGCAGAGGACAAACTGCTTCCCGAGCACAGTGTCTCATTTCTGGTGGCCAAATTTGGCAGTTTCAGAGCTGACCTTGACTCAGCACAGCCCACGGAGCTCCCGTCCTGCCTGCAGCCACACACCACAGCACTGCAAACATTTAAGTGCAAAGTGTGCAAATGCACACATCCTACCGCACCTTCCCAAAGCTTCCTTTCCCCAGAACCATCAAGAAATTGAAATCCGAGAGCTTCATCCGATCTCTGCTCCCGTTGTTATCAAACTTAGAAATGGCGTTTGTCGTCTTCTCATCCACAGCCTTGGAGCCCGTGCCAATCTTGGCCCTCTGTAAAGACAGAGACAAAAATTACTGGAAAGGGCATGGAGGGGTTGTCATAAAAACCCTGAACTGCTCTCAGAACCCCAAAGATGTCCTCAGATCTTCATGCTGCCCTCAGATCCCCATGGATGCTCTCAGAGCCAAACCACACACCATTGATGAGGAGCACTCCATGTTCTGAGCCCCCACTGCTGCCCCAAATTCGGCCCCATAGAGTGGTTAGGGCCACCCAAAGCGTAAACTGGGGCTTCACTGAGCTTTGTCCTCACAGAGCTGACCACTGTTTGCACCTTGTGAGCGAAGAACAGATGAATACAAATATTTTAATGTAAAATGCAGGAATTTTTATTGAGCTCCAACACGGTTACTATCTGATATCAGAGAGAACAGCCCTCCTGTGCCAGCTCAGGCTGAACACAGGAAGCAACAAATTCATTTTGAAAGGACAGAATAGAAAGCACTTCTGCATCCCCCAGCAATCACCCGAGCCAGTTCAATCACAATTGCTTATTAAGGAGCCCTCACAAACCCCCATATTTTTTAACCACAGAATCTCATCAGTTGCTTGGCACCTCCTCATTGGTCCGGGGGCTATCTCATTTGCTCAACTACCATTTGTAAAAGCTATCTCACAATTTCTTCGGTTTTAATTTTTAGAAATATGCCACAGTGTAGGGTTTGCATTGAGTTCAGTCTAGCATGAAATTCCATTAACCCGATTCCAGCAGTTCAATTTGGCTGCTGCTCGCAGCTCCTCCAGATAGCAGCCTCACCAGCCAGCTCCTAACCTCCGCTGCTGCTAATTGGTTATTGCAAGGTTCTCCTTGCTGTAAAATCCCCCATTCAAGGGCACCTGCAGCACCTACAAACATCTGAAAAAGCCCTGAGCTGAAAACTAAAGGAATGGCTTCAAGGATTTGCAAATATCATAATTGCTAACACAGCTCCAAACAAGTGCCCCAGGGAAGAGGCTGAAAGCATTCAACAGACTGAGACCTGCAAGCATTGCAAGTGGAGCAGTACACACAGCTTTCAGATAGGGAAAAAAAAGAGTTTTGGACACAGAAAAGGAAATGCAGGCACTGCTCTGGGAGTGCAAAGCTTTCCCCACTTACTACCTTCAGACTTCTGCAGTGTGCCAGTAGCACCCCTGTCCCAGCAGCAGGGACCTCTCACATCTCCCCCAGCTCACAGCGATTCGTGATTCTGGTCAGAAGAGCACAGAGCCTGGGATGCTCCTTGTTCACCCCTCTGCTGAAGGAGGAGGCCCCACATGTGCCCCAGCTGTGGGCTGCTTGTGGGATGCAGCTGGAGCTGAGTGCAGGCACAGAGACGAGCAGGAGCAGCCCGGCCACCATGGCAGCCAACACAGCCATGTAACTTTGCCTTCAGCGATCCTTACCCTATTATATTCCAAAGTGATCTCTAAAAGAAACGTGTACTTATCAGCAGGCAAACAGTCATGTTATGGGAAACCTTTCCTAAACACTCCATCACGGTTAAAAAACAATCTTGTCACATCAAATTTGACACTAAATTAACCTTTGCGAAGACAAGGCTTTAACGAGATTCAAGGGCAATCATTACGTTCCCATTGAATCACACCTAGGAGCACACTGCCCTGTGTGCAGCCCCAGCCTTGCAGCAGTGGGGCAGAAAGGCAGCAGGAGGGGCAGGGAGGGGTGTCCATCTCATCACCCTGCAGTGCTTAAGCCACCCCAGACTGCCCCTCCAGCAGTCACACAGGCCTGACAGGAGATGGTGATCCACCTGAAAGCCAGGCTAGGGACGGAGCTGGGCCAAGAGGGAAAAGGTCTTCCAGGCAAGAGCCCACTCAGAAAGAAGAGCATATCCCTGCCCTGAAGTGAGGTGCCTCGCTTTTGCCTACGATCATCTTTAATGCCTGTCTCTAAATGAGTAAAGAAACCCTCAAAACCAGTTTTAATGCACTTCTAACGTGGACACAATTTGGAGACCTCTAAGGCTTACAGCTGAAGCATGTCAAGCACTGCGCACAAAAAAAAAAGAAAAGAAAAAAAAAAGAAAAAAAGTGCTTGACCTTCGTTATCCAGCTCCATTTGTCATAGCTAATTTACTACATCGGAATTTATGCAATAGCAGCTGACGTTCGCATCTATCAAGCTGTCCCAGCAAGCAGCTGATAAGGGCCGAGCAGAACTGGCAGTGAGTGCTGCAGGCATCCTGCTGGGCTTTGGGCAGCACAATGCAGGCAGAGCGGGAGCGGCGCTGCCAGCACCGGGCACTGCTACCTTTCTGGGGCTTTGCAATGCGAAACCACCAGGGGAAGATGCAGAAGGGGATGCAGATGAAGTATGGCCACATGAGGTCACCTCTGGATGCTGCATTCCCTGACCTGCAGCCAAACCAGCATCTACAGCTCCCATCACACCATCCTAACACTGCCGGAACACCACGGAGTGCAAGGGTGCTTCATAGAGCTGACAACCACAGCATATGGCTGTATGTCAAGTGTTACATTAGAACTGCCTTATTTTCTTCAATATTCAGGCAAGTTATATATAAATGAGACATATGTGAAATTGAAGAAAGGAGGAGCATTGAGAAAAAGGAACCAAATCCCCAGTCCTATGCTGCAGGTATGGAGCTCATGCTGACATCGGAATGACGAGCATTTCATTTGGTGAGCAGCTCATTCCAGGTTGGTCTCCTGTGTGCATTCCCAGGGTACTGGGAAGGTATGAGTCCTGCTGAAAAATGGCCAAGATCCACTATCTGAAATAATGCAAGTGAAAGGACGATGGTTGCTGTGCTGCTTTCCTTGCAACTGGAAGCAATGTTTTCTTAAAAGCCATGAGATTGCAGGTAGAGACACGGGAACAAGCACAGACTTAGCAGTGCACAAAGCAAATGTTACACAGAGCACTGCACTGTGCAATAATCTCTGCGGTATTTTCAGATTGACATAAGCACCAAAGCACTATTCTCCTCTCATCTCCTCCTCCACCACCGACTGTTCCCTTTCCCCGCTCATCCCCTGATTGCTGCCACCACCCGCTGAGCTGCAGACGTGCACAGGGAGGTCACTGCATCTCCAAATCGGAATGAAACGCTTCAGGAGAAGGACAGCTCACACAATGCGTGGCAATTAAAACCATTTTGTCAATCCCAGGAGAAGACTATGGGAATGAACCATTCTTCCCAGCCCTGCTCTATCCAAATCCTTGTGCTTTAATTTGTGCTCTGCAGCCCAGCAGTGCAAGGAGCACTCTGCGAAGAGCTTGCTGCACCAACCAGGTTCCACCTCTATTTCATGCACACACGCAGAAACGCACTGGATTTCACCATGCCTGCAGACCTAAATTGAGAGGTGACACCGTGTGTCAGGCCTTTGCAGAGATCCAAACCAGCCACAGGCATGGCAGGGGGGTGGAAGGAAATAAAATTTGGGCTCTTGAATGCCGGGTGTGCACGGCCAGCCCACAGCTGGCCAGCCCACATTGCTGACTCCCTGACCACTGTTACCCAAACCTTGCTGATCCCAGCACAGCCACACACTATGAGCTATGAGCTGCAGCCCCACTGCTCAGAATCTGCCCCAGTGCAAACAGGAGGGGTTCTCTGGGTCCTGCCCTGCCCCATGGACCCTGCTGAGCTCCCAGCTCAATTCACCTCAAATTTCTGCCTCAGTTCCTCGTTTCCTTCTTCACCCTCAGGAGGCACCGGGACGTTGAAGTACTCCCCCTCCTCCTGGCTCAGCAGCTTGAACCTGGAAGAAGACAGCCAGGGGGTCAGGGCAGGGGGTGGGAGGGTGCTGACCCTCCTTGTCCAGGAAACCCTTCCCCAAGAGAAGGTGGGAAGGATCCCAAACCTTGCATTCCCTGACCCCCTATCTACAGAGCTTCCAGACACATACCCGAGCAGGACTGGTTTTGGGGTTTTGGGGTCCACAGTGGGGCTGGAGACTGATCCCCCTGCCCAGCAGGAGAGAGCTCTGATGCCACCTCCAATATGCCAGCCTACTCCAAACCTCCTTGAGGCAGATGAGGCAGGCTGGGGGATCCTGTCCTCCTGGCTATGGCAGAGTCCTACTGTGTGGGGACAGGCTGAATTCCATAGGGAACAGGGCCCACCCCATGAGACAGGGAGCATCCTTCGGGGCACAGGCTGGCACTGGCAGCCCTCAGCATGCAGCCAGAGCTCTCACAGGAAAAGGAAGATTTTAACCAGCAATTATCAGAAATCATGGAGGTTCTGCTCAGATCTGAGGCATTTCACACAGCCTCAGGCGAAGCTTTGGCTCTGTCAGCCCTCTTCTCCAGCAGCCGAACGGAGCAGCAATCGGCCGGGTGTTATCTACAGAGGCTGCGGCTGCAGCGCATGAACAAAGCGCCATTTGCATAATACAGGGACAGACTCTTTCTTTGAGCTCGTTTTCTCCATTAACTGCAGTTGTTTAGATATGAAATATACATCAGAGCCCCTTTCAGAGCTTATTCTTGCCAAATACTGTGACAAGGAAAATCACTTAGATCTCTGCTTACATGGTTTCTAAAAGCCTGGCAAAGCCATCGCTGTGCTGCATGGGGAGCAGGTGATGTACTGGCTCCAGCTGAAGGACATACAACCCACAGGTGATGGTGCATTAAGGAGGGAGGGGCATTTATTTTTCCCCAGCAGAATTTCTGTCTCCATCCAGGTCTTTAGGGCAGAACGCAGCCTGGGGCTGCTGCGCCTGCTGAGCCAGTAGGATGTCCCAGCCTCATGCCAAGTAAATTAATGCCATGCCATTTGGGTTTGCAAAATCTACATGCAATGTCTGTTTTCAATTACTGCACTTCACATGCTAAGCGTGGAGTGTAGCATAGCTCTCAGGCATCAGTGACTGGGGGAAAAAAAAATAGAAAGTGAATGAGAGGGCATGTATCCTACTGGAGGAGAAAGAATGGACAGGAGCAGACCCATTCTGTGCGATTGTGCAAACCCAGTGTTCCTCTCCGGTAAAGTAACAAGGACAGCAATGCCAGCACCATGCAGTGTTCCTGGTTTATAGAGAGCCCATCCTCACGGTCCCACTGCCCACAGGGAGCTGCATGAACCCCACAGAAGGGCTGGGGACACTGCTGTCCCTGCAGGAGCCACTCTCCCGTTGGGAAGTCATTGTGCCCGAGCTCTGCTCTTCTCAAACACCCCCAGTCTCACCATCCATCAACTCCAGACTTCTGCAGCTCGGAGATGCCGAAGGACAAGGAGCCCATGAAGTCGTTCCTGCTGGTCAGGTCCCAGTCCCAGATCTCCACTGACAACCGCCTGTCCTTGTCTGCTTCCTTCAGCTGGCTGCAGCAGAGTGAAGAGAAGAGGTGAGACGTGTCATTGGGGACAGCATGGCTGCAACCTTCCACCTCTGGAAAGCAGTTGGGAACAGCATGGAGCGCCTCCCAGCCATGGGTATGGGGTGAAAGGAATCATTTCTCAGCCAAATCAGCTTAATATCTCCCAATGATTAAATTGGAGCAAATGCAATCACATTAATTCTTAGGGGACAAGAAAAATTAGTTTACAAATTCAAGCATATTGTACTCACAATCTGAACGTCTCATTCCACTCAGGGTTCAGGGAGCACTTTATGGTTTTGGTCTTCTGTTTGCTTTCGTTTTTGGGGTCAGGGATTAGTTTAAGCTTCACGTAGGGGTCTGACAAGCCATTGGGATCCATGGGAACTAGGTTTTTAGCATCTCTTACTGGGGAGGAAAAAAATGATTATTTTCAATATTCAAACGATAAAAATTCCCAAAAGCTAAGAGAGTGTCATTGTCCCACATGGGATCCTGCCAAGCCACTGTGTGATGAGCCTCCTTGGTCTGGGCACCAGCAGCACGAGCAGGACAAGTTCATGGCCACACATCCCAGCATGGGGACATGGCCACATCAAGGCTCTGGGATCAGCCCACCTGCAGCTATCCAGGCAGCTGTGGCACCAGGGCACTCTCGAGGAATGTATCAGGCCATCGCTCACCTCTTCACAGCACAGAAAAATACCTCCTGACCCTCAGAGTCAATCAGTTGGCGCCCTGAAGCATGAGATTTGATTACCCCATGTTATGATCTCAGCATGCAGACCTAGACATTCCGTTAATGGGAATAATAATATCTTTCCATTAAAAAAAAAAAATCAAAATGCTTCTGTTTGACGTTAAATCACTTTCTGATTTTTCAAGCAGAAATCAACAATTCGGTGAAAGAGAACTAGAGAGTTCAAGAAGCCCGAGCTGGGTTCCTAGGCTCAGCACAGCCGGTGATGGCTGCAGGTTCTCTGCTCCTCTGCTTCCTAGAATCAAATATCCGTGCCTCTTCATACTACAGTTTGAATCTGCATTGGAAAGCGCTTCCATTACGAAAGCAAAAATGTGCACAGCCTTGATGATGTTTTAATTTGCTACAATTTCCCACTTTATCCAGCAGTCTTTTCCCGCTAAGAAGATAGTTATAAAAGCCCAGAAGAGAACACAGGCTGGGTTCTGCCCAACCCCTTCAGAACTTGCTAGGAACTGCAGCTACTTTCATTGAACCAGGCGAAATATCCCACCAGTTTTATGGTTTTGTTGCTCTCTTTTATGCATTAATATGCATTTATATGCATTAACTATATTACATACATGGGCTGCTCCAAAAGTAATGCCTCCTATTCTATTATGTTGGCCCATGACAGCAGAGGCAGCTGCCAGTGGGATGGCAGCAGAAGTTGAACCTTCCCACCAACGTCCCATTACATGTTGTTGCTGTGTGACAGACAGCAGCAGAGGGGCACTCTGACACAATGACATCCAACATGGAGGTGCGGATGAAGCAACGTGGTGGAACTGAATTCCTCCATGCAGAAAAAATAGTGCCCACTGATACACATGGACACTTGGTGACCATTGATGGAGACCAAACAGTGGCTGTGGCACAGAGAGGTGCTGGTGGTACGTTTCAGCAGTGGTGACATGGGGCACTTCTGCTGGCACGCAGCTCTTGTTGATCACTGGCAAAAATGCACAGCTAATGGTGTTGATTACATTGCAAAATAGTGCTTTTGGGCTGAGAAACTACTCTATCCAATAGTGACATTGTGCTCTTTGTACCTGTTCTGGTTTTCATGAAAATAAATAGGAGGCATTGCTTTCAGAGTGACCTATGTTTCTTACATGTGGTCCAAGACAATTGCTCTTCACTCAGTGTGGCCCAGGAAAGCCAAAAGGTTGGGCACCCCTGTGGTAGACAAAGCCAGGCACTTTTAAACTCCAGAAGCATCAATAGATTCCTGCACTTCAGCAACATCCCTGCACAGCAGACAATGGCACTCACAGTGCTTTGAACTCTCCTGGGTGCGCCCATTACTCATTGACATCCGAAGTAAGCAGCTGTAAGGGAGCTGCTCTGCAAACACAAACAAGCAATTAAAACTGAGATTTTAATGAGGAGAGTCAGCTCTGCAGCCTGAAATAGGGATTTTTCTCATGTCACCATTGAACAGTCCCAGGGCCCAGAAAACACGCTGGGAACGGGATCATGCCATGCTGAGTGCTGCCAGGCAGCAAAGCAAGAGCTTGGCTCCAGACTGTCATAGCAATGTCCGAACCCGGGCCCTGAATTGCTGCAGAGTGCCCACTCCTTTCCCACGCTGTGCTGAGGTTTGTGGTTACCTGCACCTCACAGTAGTGAGCTGCATGGTGTGGGGCCAGGCTGCTCCAGCATGCTGCCTTCCTCAGTGCTTCTCACTTGGTGAGGTGCAGACTGTGAGCACCTCGTGCAGCTGCAAAGTTGCGGGACACCCGCTGACCAAAGTCCTTCAGGTTAAACAACACGTGCTATTTAACCAAAAAAATTCGTTCTCCCAGTTGGAGGGAAAACATATCGTTACAAAGAAAAAGAAGCTGAGAAAGCAGGGAGAAAATAAAAACATGCTACCAAAATATTTCCTCAAAGCCCCGTAAATTTAAATTGATGCAAAAGCAGAAGCACGGCGCTCCTCAGCTCCGGCGTGTGCCCATGCTGCCACCTGCAGGCACTCGCTGCTGCCCAGCTGCACGCACCAGAGACCTTTGTTTCCTACTCCATTTGCAATGCTCTGTGCCACAGCGGCACTGCATCTGGACATGGGCTCTGCACAGCTGCCAGGACAGGGATCTGGCCCCAGCAGCTGGACCTGCATCGTGCCCTGCAGCCAGGGACCAAAGGCGCACAGACATCAGCCACAGCTCCTGGAAAACAGCTGATGCCCGCATGGCACAGCATCCTTTCTCACAGATGTGAGTGGTCTTTCAGTACCTAAATGAGGGCTGTAAAAAAGAAGGGAACAGACTCCATAGCAGGATCTGCTGTGATGGAACAAGGGGAAATAGTTTCAAACTAAAAGAGGGGAGATTCAGGCTGTATGAGGAAAAGGTTGTTTATGGTAAGGGCAGCAAGGCCCACAGGGTGCCCACAGAGGTGCCCCATCCCTGCAGATACCCATGGTCAGGCTGGATGGGGCTCTGAGCACTGATGTGTCCCTGCTCAGTGCAGGGAGTGGTACCATGCAGCATTCAGAGGTCCCCTGCAACTCAAATGATTCTATAATTTTATAACCCTGATGCCCATTGCCATGATGGGCAGCACTGCTGCCTCTCTCTGGTTGCATTTCGGCTGCAGGACCTTTGGTGCTCTGCACTGAGCTGACAGAGCTGGCAGCAGGGAGAACATGCGGGATTGGGAAAGGTGGTGAATCTCTGAGGTTGGCAGCAGGGGGGGCTTTAGATTTATCGCTGAGGAAAGCAATGGGTTTGGGGAGACTGCCTCCAGCCACACTTGTGTGCCCTCAGAGGCACCATGCTCAGCTCGCTCCCACTTTTGCAGGATCTGCCCTCTCCCTGCCAAAAACACAGCACAAACCCAGCTATTATCTGAAGCTTGTTTCTTCTTTAAGCAAACAGTCACTGAGGCAAAGGAAATCTCTGCTGACTCCCTGGAATTGACTCAACACAGGCACCAGCAGGGCTCCTGGTGGCTCCCAAAGACCAGGGATGTATTTCCTTGGGTCTGAGCAGACATTTCCACCTCCCCTTCAAATTTAGGACCAAGAAGCCCAAGGCCTCACCTGCCTGGGCGGAGAGGAAGGAGCTTAGCAGGGAGTGCACAGAGTCTCTCCTCTCTCAAAGTGCTCCCACTCCTTCATTAGCCATGCAGCAGAGCTGGGGAGCACAGTACATTTTCCTGCCTTTCTGGAAAAGCCAACAGATGACATGTTTTCACCAACACCTCCATAATGGGCCAGAAATAAAACCGTCTTTCAAATCTAACTGAAGAAAAGAAATTCCAGCTGCACAGAAGAGGCTGAGGGAGTTTCTGCCCTGCCTCCAGCATCATGAGAATGGCAACCCATGCCAGGAGCTTCTGTGCTTGTGGGGCTGTGAGTTCTGAGTGTCCATCCGCCCCAGCCCAGGTGTGACATTGGGTTGGGTCAGCCCTCCCTGTGTCTGGTGGATCAGATTGTATATTAGGAAACATTTCTTCTCCAAAAGAGCTGTCAGGCACTGGCACTGCTCCTCAGGGTGGTGCTGGGATCACTGTCACAAGAATGGTGGAGATGTGGCACTGAGGGATATGGTTAGTGGGCACGGTGGGATGGGTCGTGGTTGGATTTGGCAACCTTAAAGGTCATTTCCAACCTTACTACTTCCCTAACTCTGCGAAATATTGGTGGCCAAAGCCCTTTGAGAAGGGACAGCCCTCTGTCACAAAGCTGCGGCTGGGGGGCACAGAGCCCGGCAGAGGGCAGCGGAGCGCCGCGCTGAGCACCGGGAGCGGCGCACCGGGATTGGAGCGCTGGGGGCCGCTGTGCGAACGGCACCGAGAGATGACAGGAAAGAGGCGTTCGTATCTCATGGACAGCACGAACCAAGCAACGCATTTTCACGGTGCTGATCGGAGGGACTTCCCGCCCTCCACCTGGCCTCACCCCCGTGCCACACGTACCCACGACAGTCAGCACGTCCTTCTCGATGTCGGCCCTGATGTATATCCTGCCCCGGCGCTCGGTGTGGTCGGTCCCACACAGGCTGGGGACGTTCATCACGCAGCGCTTGTGCACGTTCATCATGCAGGCTGTGGGAGAGAAGAGAGGTTTGCTTGGCCCCCCCTTCTGGGGTGGGTTCATAGCAAACAGACCCCAAACCCAAGCAGAGTCTTGAGGCTGTGGGTGCTGTGCAGGCGTGTCCCCCCTCCTCCTTCCCATGCCTACATGGGCTGCAGGGCTTTTAGTCATCATTCCCATTTCCTGGGGTGCCCAGAGAGGTGGTGGTGCCCCAGCTCTGCAGACTGTGGATGGGGCTTTGAGCACCGGATGGAGCTGTGGATGTCTCTTTCAAGGCGGGGCAGTGGGATCTGATGGCCTTTTAGAGTCCCTTCAAATGCAAACAATTCTGTGATTCTATTTCTCTTCCACCCCACTGCAGTGCAGCACTGGCAATTCAGCTGGATTCACCAGGAATACAAAAAGGGCACCAAATACCCCCACAGCTTTACCCATATACAGATCATTTAAACCAATCCCTTTCTACTTGGTAACATTTTAAAGGTGATAATGAATATGCTGTTCCCATAACAGACAGTAAGCTTCTATATTTATGAGGATGCCAGCACATGGTAAGCACCGGGGTGTGCTGCTCCCCGCAGACGGCGTAAGCAGACGCTGTATGTTCACAGTCATTTTAAATAGGACTGCACAAGACTGACTCGGAAAATAACCAGTCTCTCTCCTACCCTCCTCCCTCTCCTTTCACGCCATCTCCTCCCTGTTCAGCTCCCCCAGCTCCCTGCACCCTACAGACTCATGTTGTCCCCCCTCCGGGGGTGCTGACCCCCCTCTCCCGTTCTGTCCCCGCTGCACCACTACTTACTGTCACATTTCATCCCCTGGTGGATGAGGCCATACAGCAACGAGCCACAGTGGTCGCAGAAGGTGGGGCTGGAGTATGTGTGGATTTTAAACTTGTGTTTGCTTCGGGGATCCTAGGAGGGAAATAAAAGATGAAGATTATAAACCCGCTCCAAAGATCAGTCAGGAGTGCACACACCACAGTGCCCTGATTTCTGTCTGTATTAGGACTTCCTAGCAACCATCTCTGTGAGAGCCCCACTGCTTTTGGGGGTCAGCGAGCCCCCCCTACTCCAAAGGCACCAAGTTCAGAAATCTCCCTCCTGAGGGTGGATGCAGGTTGAGGCCATGGCACACACTGCCCAGCTTAATTCCATCTCAGGTTAATTGCTTGGGGCTTGGGATGAGGCACAGCTCCCAGCTCCGCCATTTGAGCTGACAGCCTGGAGAGGTGCCCAGGCACCAGGACAGAGCTTGGCAGGGCACTGCAAGGTATGTAAATAAATAAAGAGTGGAGGCAGAACAGAGCTGTGGCACGGCTATACAGCACCCTCCCTTAAATGAATTGTCCAAGCACTCCAGGTACTGAAGCTTTTAGCTGCACTAACCACTGAGATTCTCTGTTCTTTCTCAGTGTCGCAGATAACTTGAGCGATACCAGAAGGATGGACTGGTAATTGAGCTGCATTTAATTCCACCCGCTAAGTGCGACGGAATAGGTACACGCTCCAGCAAACCCATTGTACTGGGAGCTGGAAGCATCCCACGTGCTGCCCCAACTGAACCTCCTGTTGGCACAGAGCACCGGGTGCTCCCACAGCGCAGCGTGGAACAGGGACCCACAGAGATATGGGCACAGTGCACCTGAAAGTTTCCACACGCTGATGGGGAACAGCCCACAGGCAGAAACCTTCTGCATCCCCAAAGCTCTGAGCCAGCACAGAACTGAGCTGTGGTACCGGGGCCTCAGGCTGCCCCTGGCTGTGCCCTGCAGGGTGTCCAGTGTGGGTAATAGTGTGAATACAGCAGGAGCCGTGTGCCACTGAGCCCTGAAGTGTTGCACGGGCAGGAAGCCGCCCCCAAGTGCTGCAGTTCCTGTGTTCCCTTCTGGAAAGAGACATTCCTGTTTAGGCAACCAAAAGCTTTAGTCATTCATAAAATAAGACACAAGCTCATTGCAAAGTGAGGCAGCTTCCACCTCATGCAAATGGTTTTAAATTCCCTCTGGAAGTGGGAGTTTCAAAGAAGTCAGAGGTGGAAAACACAAGCACGCAGCACACAGGGACCTGCGGGCACATTCACAGCAGCTTCCCACGCCCCTGCTCAGAGCAAACCAAGCTCATCTCCAGGTGCCGGGGGCTCCTCTTCAGTTGCCACCCTAGGGGTGTTACAGGGACCTGGAAGCAGCTGGGACTGAGCCCCACACAGCACTGTAGGTGATGGAGGAGCAGCTTAGAGCTGTGCAGTTGAGCTCTGAGTGCAAAGAGCAGGAGGCACTGCCTCCCCTTCCCCATGCTGCAGAACATGCCAGAACTGGGTGTTCTGGGGATCATTTTCAAGCAGGGCTGAAGTCTCTGCACGGAGAGACTATTTTTGCACCATGGAGACAGAGATGACGAGATCCCTGCGCATGCAGATGCTGAGAGACTTCAAGCAAGAACACTTACAACGAAGTTTGCCAAGAAAAGAAAATCTGCTCCTCCTTCCCTCCCACTAGAGCAGAGCTGGCCCTGAAGGACAGAACAGACAGTGTTCCCTTGGGAGCACTGAGAAATGTCACCAGGGTGTCAGCAAGAGGCTGTGACCTCTCCTGCCGAGCTGTCCAACCCAGACAAGGTGGCACAGACTTGGGGCCAGGCGTTCTGGTACCTTGACTATTAATTTCCAGCTCCTCAGAGCCCTGCTTCAGCACGACGCTTTGGGATGGTGCCATGCACTCATGAGTGACCTAGAAGTCCCTTACTGCTCAGGGCAGAAGCATGCATGGAGCCCCCAGGCACGGCCATGGCACCCAGTAGGCAGAGCCTGCCCGAGGCAGCGTTCCTCAGCAGCTAGGAGCAGAGCTGTTCAAACTGCAGGGCTTGAGCCATGTGTGGATGGCAGACGAGCGAGCTCGGCTCCGCAGAGCCAGGGAAGCAGCAGAAGGTGCTGGGAGGGAGCAGTGTGGATACATCTTCATCCCGCAGGAGCTGTCACCGGCCGTCTGCACCTGCCGGAGCTGCATGTGCCCTCACACGAGGGGCAGATGGCACCCGCCGGGAGATGGAGAAGTTAATTAGCAGGAGAAAAGCAAGCAGTGAGCTGCAGAGAGGCTGGAACAGCATGGGGCTGGAGCAGAACAGGGCTGCCGGAGGGGCAGGGTGCTGCTGACAGCCCGTGCACTGAGGGCTGGGGGGTGACACACCTGGGGGAGTCCCTGCACCCTGCTGTGAGCTGCAGCGTGGCACCCGGCAATGGGGTGTGAGCAGGGCACTGTGCATGCACTGATGCTATTGATACAGCTTCTGCTGCTAAAACACCTGTGGGTCCCACAGCTCTCACATTCCCATGAAGCTTCTCTCCTCTAAAAGCAAGCAGCATCAACCCTTTCTGCAGTACAAACAATTGTGGAGATTTTCAGGAACAGAGGAGCCCAAGACAAAGACGAAGCTGCTTGCAATCAGCAGTGAGCACAGGCACACAGCAGTGTCACAGAAACCCTTTCCCAAAGCTATAAGAGCTGGAAAAATAAAATGCAAAATCAGAATGAAACTGCACTGGCCTTCTTTATTCCTGGAGCAACTGTGATATTTATTAATGCATTGTGATTGGGTGACCTTTAGCAGGATAATGCAAAGAAGGTCATTTTAATGATTATTTTGTCTACAATTTAAATAATTATGCATTCTACTAATAGCTCCAGCTATAATTAGGTTTGCCAACTGCATTACATTATACATGCCTGATTTCAGCTCCTGGAGACCTTGCCATATTTCAAAGAACTTCAGCTTGAATGGGCACGCGAGCTCTGCCTGCTACAAGCAGAGCACTGGAGCGCCAGAGCTTGTAATGAAGAGCAGCATGCTTCAGTACCATGGTGTTGATAAGGGCTTCAACAGCATTAATGCAAAAACCATGTCAAAACCAAAGCTGCAGGGCAGGAGAGCCTGAGCCCAGCACATGGCTGCAAACCCAGCACCCCAGAGCTCAGTGCTGCACACAGTTGGACTTAATTGGAGAAGTAAGTGGTATAAACACCACCGTCCTCAGCTCCCAGTGCTGCGGAACTGATGGGCAAAACAGACCACTGTATCACATCTTCAGACATCAAAAAGCACAAGTGCCTGGCCACGACTTCAGTACAATGCAACATAAAACAACCCCACAACCTCAGCCCCAGCAATTATACTGACAACGTTGGTCTGCACTGTAAGGAGCAATTACATCCCTTCACTTAACATGCCCCATCAACACGCAATTAGAGCTGCTCTCCCTCTCCTGGTTGGAGGGCTTGTGCCTTTTGGCTTTGCAGGGTTAAGCACACACATTCCTTGGGAGCTTCAGACACCACCAGATCAAACAGAACTGCTCCTGGCTGACTCTGCTGCTCGTGTGCTCCCAGCTCAGCATACTGCCCTGCAGCCAGTGCAGACTGGGGCAGGGATGTCACCACCAGTGCCACCATGGGGAGAGGACCTCTTCCCTTTCCAGCTCAGCAGCAGCCACGTGGCCCACTGTAATGAAGAACCCTCTGTGAGGCTTAAACAACTGCAATAATTTAAACTCATTCTTTCTGCAAGATTTAATTGGGAATTAGTATTTGTCAAAGGAATGACAGTTACCAGATTGCTCTGCAGACTAAAAAAAGCATAGCTAAAATTATTACAACCTAGATCCTATCAGTGTTTGATATAACTACAGGTCGCTCTGGATTCATGCCATGGCTGTTAGCAACAGCGCAGAGGAAAGCTCAGCTTGAGCTTTGCAGCAGCTCGCAGTGAAGCCCCCATCCCCAGCCAGTCCTGCTGCAGGCAGGGCACTGCTACTTGCTGGAATAGTTTGCTGTCTCTCTATTCAAAGCTCCTTCAGGATTAGGTTGCTGTAAGCAGCCTGATTCCCCATGCAGAACCAACAGTGTTTGCTCTGCAACATTCCCCAGTTAAATCCTAGCTGACAGCCATCCAGGTGTACGAACTAAAGCTCTACTAAAGGGCAAAAAAAAAAAAAAAAAAAAGCCAACATGACAAAAAGGCCATTTTTGCTGCCTGTCTTAAGCCCTGAGCATCTGCACACCTCTCTCTATTTTCAGAAATAATGCATTAATAATCTGACAGCAGCTGGGCAGCATTTACCTGTCTGCCCAAGGAGCACAGCAGCAGCACTCACGTGGCAATAACAGCAAACAGCAGATGATTTGATCAAGGGCCTTTGTGCACATCCCTGTACCAGTGCCTCTTACAAAGGGGCAATTTGGATTTCTTTCAAACCTTCCCCTTGGCAGGCAGAGGCTGCCCACCAATAACTGGAGGGCCACTGCCGGCAGAACGCAGCAGAGAAGTGCCGTGCACCGGGAGCAGGACTGGGCACTGGGTGCTCCCTGTTCCTTCTTCTCACTCCAGCTTGGACAAGGCTGCTCAGGAGAAAGCACAGCAAGAGCCCACAGTCAGAAGCGTGCAGAAACGGGCACAGCATTTCCCATCACCTGCTGCTCTCCTGCTCGCTGCTGGCCAGCTGCTGGGCGAGGATGTGCACAACGCCCAGCTGGGCAGGCTGTCTGTGCCTGACACCACGCAGCAGGGGCACCTGGAGCACAGCCCGCCCCACGCTGCTGCTGCCAAGCCTCATTTTCCTTGAGCAAGGTTAAGTGCTTTCAGCATCTCAGGGTCCCTCATTCCAGCTCTGCTGCAATCATGTTTGCTGGCACTTTCCTGCTATTTTTGCATTGTGACAGGCACGGTTTGCAGCGCTGTGACCTGCAAGCAGTGCTGCGGAGCCATGCCCAGCTGCACCCCCAACTTGTGCTGCCTGGCTCTTACCTGCAGCCCCCAAAACTACAGCAAATGGCACAAACAGCAGCACCCAGAGCCTGGGTTTCAGGTTTGCTTGGGAGGAGAAAGCAAGCAGGTCTTCTCTAGCAACAGCTGCTACCCTCTGTGCCTCCAGTACCCCCCAGCACAGGGGGATAATAGGGTGGGAGCATCTGGGCTCTGCAGCACCCCCCTCCAGCTGCAGCAGCCTCATAAGTTTTCAGATCCCTATGCACAAATATCTGAATATGTTCCTAAATGTATATATGTTTATATCTATGACATATATCTTTTGTAGCCTGAGCCACGTCTGCAGGGTGCAAGCAGGTCTCACTGCCATCTTTAGAGTTCCAGATGACAGAGAATAGAGAACGTGTGACGATAGAGCTCAGCCATGTGGCTGAGGGCATCTCACTGTGTGACATCACTCAGCAGTAGCACTGCTGCACAGCCACCCTGGGGGCTGCAGCTCTGTGTGCTGTGCAGTAGCACCATGCAGAGGAACCTGGCGTGGGTGTGCACATGAGATAGCTTGCTAGCCCTCCTGACTGAGCAAAGGGCAGAGTGTAAATCCCCTTTTATCACACTTCCCCATACTTTCTCCAGTTTTCCTTGCTTTTTTTTTCCTGTCAGGCTCTCACTTCATAGAGCAGCAGTGAAACCACCCAGAGCAATAGGGGCAGAACTCACTCCTTCCTCATCCCTATGGGTGTAATTGCAATGTGCTGCAGAGAAATTGCATGCTGCAAAACCATCACAACACGGCATGACTCAGGCAGGGGACACTGCTGTCCCTTGGGCTGCGGATGACACCCCTGGGTGCTCTGTGGTCAGACAAAGTACAGCAGCCCCTGTTCAGCTCCAGCCCCATACAGAACGGTAAGGGACCAATAGAGAATTTGGGTACCCAGTGTTCGGGTCTCTTCGGTTGATATCTGTGTGCTGCATCTCCTTTTCCCCTCCACTAACTAATTTGTAAGGTTCAATAGCTTCCAATACACTGCAATTAGCAGCAGTCCCTGCAGAGCAGAAAGCCTTCAGCAGGAAAAGTGATAGGCACATGCAGAGTGCCAGTGGGGAATTAAAAAAAAAAAACAACATAACAGAAGATCTTGACTAATTGTCTAGTGGGAAGTGGAAATAAAAGTGGGCTTATCAAATTGTGCATGACAGCCATGCATCCCTGCAAGCTGACAACCTCTAGGAGAAGTGCGAGGAACACCTTGCCACACACAGGTTTAATGTTCCACTGGGTCCTGGGCTAGCTACAAAAGCAAAGCAGCTCCATGCCCCTGCAGCCCACCCCACCAGCACAGAGCCCCAGAGCTCTGTTTTTCCCCACGCTTGTGAGCAGCACATCCCAAACCCACATCCCCAAATCCCAGCACCAGCCCTGCTCTAGGCAGAGTGACCAACAGCACTTGTGCAGACTCCACCTTCCGCAGCACACTGCACTTCCTGCACCCACTGCTTCTATTTATAAAGGTGAGAGTTCTGGTGCACCACAGTTTCCCCAATTTGCTCTTTCTCCTTGCAGTTCCCCAGATCTCCACAGTCTGCACAGTAAAACACAAAAGCTGTCGGACAGACCAGGAATGCGCCAGCAGAGCTACGCATAGCAGCTTAAGTGAGTCCTGGTCTGTTGAAAGCACCAGGATGGACCAGGAGCTGCATCCTTCTAAAAACTATAACACTACAGAACAGTTTGAGTTGTAAGAGACCTCTAAAGGCTGTCTGGTCCCATTCCTGCACTGGGCATGGACACCCACAGCTCCATCAGTGCTCAGAGTCCTGTCCAGCCTGACTGGGGGTGTGCAGGGATGGGGCACCGCCACCTCTCTGGGCACCCTGTGCCATTCCTCACCTCCCTTGGCATAAAGAACTTCTTCCTTATACCAACGTAAATCTCCCCTCATTGAGTTTGAAACCATTTCCCCTTGTCCTATCACAACAGCCCCTGCCAAACTTGTCCCTTTCTTTCTTACAGGCCCCTGAAAACAGAGAGCAGTATTTAATTCAGGTGGAGTCTGGGGGCAGGGAATGCTCCTTCAACATGCACATGCACTGGGCACATTAATCCTGCAGGATGACACGAAGCAGACCCTTGGAAGAACAATACCTGCTCTTCCTGGGGGGCCCCAGGTTGGCCCTGGGGAACTGCCCGCAGTACAGTGTGGGAGCTGGCCCAGGCAGGGCATTGACACCAAGATAACATCAGGGCAGATACTTACGTCGGAAGCTGGGCCCTTGTCTGCGCCGGGGCAGGAGAAGGTGACGAACTCATGGCACCGCTTGTGCACCACGAAGCAGCAAACTGCAGAGAGAAGAGGGACAGCGTCAGAGCTGCATGATGGGACCTGAACCGTGCACACCCAGAGCCATGAAACGTGGTTGTATCTGATCTGTGGGGAGCAGCACCACAGACACTGAGCACGATTCGCTAAGATTTAACGTTCCGCTACAGATTTCCTTATTGATGACTGTCAGGCACTAAAAGCAGAAAACTAAGCAGAAGGAAAACATGGAACGAATGTCAGAGAGGGGCTGGGTGGCTCTGCGCTCACTTGGAGCTTGCTGAGGTCATCTATGTATGAGAGGCAGCGCCCGGCGCACACAGACATCTGCGCTGCAGAGTGTGTGTGTCCAAAAACAGAATGTTATACCAAAGGGAACAGGTGGGCAACATTCCTCCCACAGCTCTGCTTTTCTTTAGCAGCTCCCCAGCCTCCATTTGCCAGACCAGAAGACACGCGCTCCTCCCTCCTCGCACGCACACAGATCACAAAGTTGGAGTTCTGGGAGCAGTGCAGGAAATTTGTCCTCGTGTGCCACCTCCCTGACTGCACCCCTGAACCAGGAAGCCCCGTCAGCAGCACTGACCCCACTCAGCACAAAACAGTTAAAGGCTGGGAAAGACCTCAGTGCTCCTTCTGCTGCTCTGTCCCCATTCCAGAGCAGCAGAGAGGAGATGCATGTGAAAAAACGGTTCTGAGCACCAGAGCATGGGCAGCAGATAGAGATGCACAGAAATGAAGCCTACTTCCATTGCACTCACATAGGACTTTCCTTAAGGAACAAAGAGAAAGCAAGCAAAGTTTCCCATTAAGCTCACAATCCACTCAGTGTACCCTGCTCCATGCAGTTTCAAATGCATTTTCCTTTTCACATTTTTCATTATGCAAAGAACAAACAGAAGGTTGGGGAGGCACAACAGCTGCCAACAACTCCTTCCTTAGAGGAGCTGCTTCTCTGAGCCAAACAAATAAACATTTTCTTGAAAACACTGTTCACCATTTCTGTCATTAGTACACACAGACAGAAGCATCTGGGAAGCAGGAAGGAAGAAATTAAAACTGTATTAGCAAAGATTTGTCCTGCAACAACCCCCAGCAGCCCCATGGAGCCCGTGCTGCAGCACTGCTGCAGCAGCAGCGATTTGGGCTCAGCTGAGGGGTGGATTTTTGCTGGGCTGCACTTGTATAGCATTCCCCTGCACCATGTTAACGAGCTTCTGGATGCAAACATGATGGAAGAGTGAAAAAGGAGAGAAAAGCAAATCCTGGGGTGCTCCATCGTTCCCAGCTTCTGCAAAGATTTGCACTCTGGGGACATCGCTATCTGCTCCTGCCTGGGGAAGGTAAACCAGGGCAGCTGAGGCTGCAGGAGGGAGCAGCAGCTGTATCTGAGTGTCCTTCACCTCAGCTGCAAACATATAGAGACACTGTGGGGCTGTAAGAGACCTCAGCACAGGTGGAACGCCCATTTCTGGTGGCAAGAAACCAGAAAGCCAATGCCTGGGAAGCTCAAAAGCATGCCAGGTTTTTATTACAGCCATATTCTTCTAAGGTTTTATCCGAGAGTTTAATTATTAAAGAAGGCATTAAATATACGTGCCCACTTAACACCTCCTGCCCTTTGAGCAGGGACCCAACGAACAGCAGACACACGGCATTATCCATCCCAGCGGAAAAACGATTGCAGCGTCCGCAAAGCATTCCACGCTACTGTTCAATTAAGTAAATGGTACCCTGGCCACCGTGGGCCACCTCTGTGGCCACTGAGTGTTCAGCAGGAGCAGTGGGCTCCCCGGCAATCAATATTAATACGGATTGTAAGGAGAATCCATTTGATGATGATGAAGCGGAACGCTCGCCTACGCATCCAAAGCAAGCAGGAGGCTCACTGCAGTGGTGGGGGATTTACATCCAGCACTTCAAACGAAGATCTGCAAGCCTTGAAAAGGTCCACGCAAACATTTCATGCACACTTAGGGGAATAATCAATCTCTGCAGAAAAACAGCCCAAAGAATTAATCAGGTACAGCAGCTTATGCTCTCATTCTGCCTTGACCCCATGTGTGTGCCTACCCAGGGGCACAGGGATGGGAGGTGCTCCTCCCGTGGCCGATGCAGTGCACCATGCTGAAGGGCAGCACGCTCCACTCCATTGCTGCAGAGCTTTAGGACCGCATCTTCATCACTTTAGAAACTACAGCACAAGCAGCAGCTTTCCCAGGTTGCTAATTAGACAGTTCATTTGTAAATCTTATTACGCGATAATAAAGTTATCAAATCCCATTGGTGAGCTACAAACGTCCTGAGTCATTTATACACAACAAAAATGAAACATTAACCTTTACCATTTGTTGCTGTGTAACGCATAGCTGCTTGCTGGCCCTAAGTTCTTCTTCAGTGCCATCTCCATTACAGGCATCTGGGGAGAAATCACTGTCTTGGGGGAGGTGAGGAACATAAAAGCCCACACAAGGCAGCGTGCTGCAGCTCCGCAGGTTTGGGACTCGTGGCAGCACTGCAGCTACAGGGATGGGGCTGCCCCAGCGCAGTGGCATAGGATATTTTCAGATGTCTGAGAAGACTCTTATTTTAAAAGGTGGGAGGACAGAAAATACTAAAGGTGTTGTTAATGTTGAGGGAGAGAAAAAACCCAAAGCTACTAAGAGGCTTCTCTGTCTAAAACGCTGCTCAGAAATCCCTGAGAAAACTATAAAGCAGTTTCACACGTGGATCACAGAACCTGACAGCCAGAAAAAACGCATTAAGAAACATCCCAAGAGCACAGCACGTGTCTGGCTTCACTTCCACCACAGGAGGGACCTCCGGGCTCAGAGCGGGCAGCAGTATACAGGGACAGAAAACACACAGCTAGGAGCAGTTATAGGCTTGCATGCTTTGCAATGATACTGTAAGATAGCACAGCAGAGAGGAGCCATTGGTGATGGCAGGAGGGAATGAATACACGGATCTCACTGTGCAGGAGTGCTGCCATGAGCTGCAGGTAGAAGCACTCCCTGGTTGCCTTTGGCATCACAGACACCAGTGATATTTGGAATAGCATGGGCTGTGTGAGGAGCAAGGAGAAATGGTCTCAAAATTAAAGAGGGTAGATTTAGACCAGACATAAGGAAGAAGTTCTTTATGCCAAGGGAGGTGAGGAATGGCACAGGGTGCCCAGAGAGGTGGCGGTGCCCCATCCCTGCATCCAGCCACAGTCAGGCTGGATGCTCTGAGCACTGATGGAGCTGTGGGTGTCCCTGCTCAGTGCAGGGAGTGGGATGAGACGGCCATTAGAGGTCCCTTCCATCTCAAACCATTATATGGTTCTATGATTCAGTTGTCTTTTGAGTCAATAGGAGAAAACTAATGAAGAGACCTCCAGCAGAAGTAAAAATGGGAGGGCAAAGCCCTTGGCACTACATGAAGCACAGGAAGAGGGGAGGACGCTCCCACAGCCTGGCAGCAGCCCTAGGAGCAGGCAGCAATGCATTAAGGTGCAGTGGCTTTACATTAAGGTGCAGATTTGGTCACAGTGAACAGAGGGCTCCTGGGCTCCACATCCCTGTGCACACCTCTTCCTGCTCATGTGGGGTATTTTCTTCTGTTTACAAAATGTAAACAAATGCAAATGAATTCCCCTGCCATATGCAACATCCCTCACCTCACATGCTCTATCTCCATTCAGATGCGCTTCTAACAGCAGACAGTTGGGCAGCTTGCCCAAAGACACAACAATGCCGAAAGATTCGCTGTTAGAATATAAAATCCTTCCTCAACCCAACAGCTTCTGCCCAGGAGATGCCCTCTATTGCAGCATTAAGCTCCTTAGCCTGGCACTCAGGCTGCCAAGGGAGCCAGCCCAGATGCATGGAACCCAGGAACATGAAAGCCTAGGAACATGAAAGCCCAGGAACAGCAGGACCCTGCCAGCACCGTGGAGCGCAGCTTTCATTTGGCCAAGTGCTCCCATTGCTAGAGGTGTCTGGTACCTCCCAGACAGTCCAGGCTTCCACCCTCAGCTCCTTTATCACAGAATGGCTTAGTTTGGAAGAGACCTCAAAGATCATGCAGTTCCAACTCCCTTGCCAAGGGCAGGGTGGCCAATCACTAGATCAGGCTGCCCAGGGCTCCATCCAACCTGGCCTTGAATGCTTCTTCAGAGGTGGCACATGATCTCTGAAATGGTGCTTTGGCAGCCCATTTTTCCAGGCTGGCTTTTTGGGATGCAGCGCTGGCAACATCTGGGACCACTGAGGCAGCACACCGGGCATGCCGTACATCAGCCCCTGAGCCTGCACACTGTTGGCTGAGAGCCTGCCACATGGGATCTGATTAGCCTCATCTCCCACACGAAATGCAGTTAGCTGGCAGGAAGGTATCCAGCCCTCCTCAAAACCCAGACACCATGACAAACGGCTTCCTGCAAGAATGAACCCTGCCTAGCAACTGGATGCCACATAAAGCAGCGCTGCCTTTATTTGATCTCCATTTGTTTCTAATTTCATTGTACGGACTCCTTGTTCTGAAGAAGGGGCTAATCAATTCTCCCCAAGCCCTTCGCAAAATGAATAATTCAGGGAAGTCACCTCGATGCTCCGGTCAAGAACACTTCTCCCAGAACTCGTGTCCTCTTTGTCATCCTCCTCTAGGCAGAGCAAAGTTCTGAAGGCACCCAGGATGGCACCAGATGCAGAATGTCAAATAAAGCAGACAGATGGAGAGTTAAGAGAGACAGAACAAGGACCGACCAAAACTCATCTCCAAATCAGCCCCAGCGAGGAGATAAGGACCTCCCCGGAGAGCTGACAGATCCTCACTTGGGCAGATGGTTCTAATAGCATGAAACTCAAAGATTATTTTGAGCGCATCTCAGTGCGTTGCTGCTCCCCTGCAACCCGGTGGAAGCTCTCATTTGGATAATGCCTCCACTTTGTAAATAACGAGAGATCTGGGGAACGGGCTGCAGCTCTGATTATCGGAGCTGGAGAGAACAAAATAGCACACACAAAAAAGTATTTTT